TTTAAATCTAAGATTTGTAAATGCAATACAAGATTACTCATAAGTTTGTCTACCTATGTCAAAAAAAAAAAAAAATGTCTACAAGAAACTCAAATTAAATTTTTATGAGCGTTTAAATTCATATTTTTACAAAATTTGATATTCACTCGAATTCTTATGTAACGATTTTCTTCTCTTATTGTAATTAAAAAACGAATGACTGTAGATACTTAAAAATTTCACTGAATATTAATATGAGCATTTTTTAAACATCATACAGTTTTAAAAATAATTTGACTGATTTTGAGCTATTTACGGACATTTTCAGTTTTAAATTTTTTTAGTTTTTTTTTTTTCTATAAATATCAATTAAGTTTTATTTGTTGGGTAAAAATGCATGAAAATTTAATACAAGGCTCCTGATATATTGTTACAATAGCAGTTGACAAATATTAAAAAAAAAATAGACACAATTTTTTTTTATAAGCATTTAAAGTTCAAATTTTTACAAAGTTTATCATATTTAAAATTGAATAGTAATTTTGTAGTTAAACATTTATAAAATGTATAAAAAGATTGAAAATTTAAAAAAAGATTCCAAGTAAATAGATTATATATAAATTACTTTATTCACCTTAATATCATCAAATATATTGCTTAGTAATACCATAGGCTGACTGACCGTTTTCGCTCAGAATCGTTTTTCTTATACAATGATTTTATTTCATTGAATTCAAATTCAACAAAATCCATTACAGTGACTCACTTGTTACCTACTGTACAGCAGAGCGACATCCACTTACCATCCTTTTTACTCTTCAGGCACCCAACCAAATATCTTGGTGAAATTAAAAAAAAGTTAGATTGAACCTATAAAATGTTCATTAATGTACGGTAAACAAACCGTTTATTGATAATACAAACTAATTGTGGTTGTATCAATGAAATTTCATTGTTACTTTTTTCTAAGAACAAATTATTAGCATCAATAAAATAATTGTTGATATTATAAACAGAGATTTTTAATATTTATACGGTACCTAAACAAACCATTAATTGATGTTATAAACTAACTGCGGTTGGATCAATAAAATTCATTGTTACTTTTTTCTAAGAACAAATTATTAACATCAATAAAATAATTGTTGATATTATAAACAGAGATTTTTAATATTCATACGGTCAACAAACTTTTATTTGATGTTTCAAACCAACTTTGGTTGGATTAATAAATGTATTTATTACTTTTTTACTACCTAAATATATGAAAAAAATATTTATTAGCATCAATAAAATAATATTACTGGTATTTCAAACACTGTCTTTTCACTTTCAAATAGGTAGTCATATCAACAAACTTACTTGTTACCTTTACTTTAAATGAAGAGAAAACATAGGAATTAAGGAATTATTGAGAAATCAAACTATTGTAGATCAAACTATTATCATAGATAAGAAAAAATATTTTTATTAAACCAGTAGGTAGGTATTTCAATATAATACATAAACATAGAGCATTAAAAACAAATAATAAATTTAAATATCAAAATGATTTTTAAAAAAAATGATACCAATATTGGCTTGCACCTTATACATATAATATAAATATATTGTTTTGTTGAAACAGTAGTTCAATATAATATGTATAACCATAGATACAAAAGCATTAAAAATAAGTAATAGGTTTAAAAATTAAAATGATTAAAAAAAAAAAATTATACAAATTTGCCCTTGTACCTTATACATAATAAACTATATTGTTTTGTTAAAACAGTTGTTCAATATATAATACATAAACAAAGATAAAAGAGCATTAAAAACAAATAATACATATATAATGCACAATAAAAAAAAAATGATACCAATATTGGCTTGTACCTTATACATAATTTAAATGCATTGTTTTGTTAAAACAGTAGTTCAATATAATATACATAACCATAGATACAAAAGCATTAAAAAAAAAAGTAATAGGTTTAAAAAATAAAAATGATACCAATTTGCCCTTCTACCTGCATACATTTACTTTGAATCCAGTTCAGAAGAAATCTGTTTGACTAAACTACAACTCTTATCATATTTTGTAAATATTTCATAAAAGCAATGTTGTTAAAAATACTTTTCAAAAGTATTTCAAATAGGTATTTAAATACTTCAATTAAAAAGTATTAAAATATTTATTTAAATACCTTTGCTAATAAATATTTAAATACAAATACAAATATATTCAAAAAGTATTTCAAATATTTTTAAATACATTTTTTAAGCTTTATTATTTTCTGATTCTTAATTCTTAAAACGAATTATTTGTTTAATTTAATAAAGTGTATTGAATATAGAAGATAATTGTAGGCTTATAAGGAATTCCTTTATTTATAATAAATTGTGAATGTAGTTATGTTTAATTTATGTGATTTATAACATATACAGTTATCCTAACTAAATAGTAAATACCTACCTATCTTGTTTGAAAATTTTGTATTTAATATGTTTAAATACGAAATATAATAATAAGTATTTGAAATATACTTGAAATACTTCTGTCTAAAAGTATTTAAAATACAGAAAAAGTATTTAAATATTTAACAAGTATGCATAAAGTAAGAATAATAATAACTTGTAAGAACAACACATTGTAACCTACATTCTAAAGGGTACCTATTTCAAATTGAAGACGTGAAAAATTTTAAAAGTTCGTTAAAAGTACCTACCCAAGATATTTATCTGGCCTCTGGGTGCGTTTTAGGTAGACAGTTATAACGTGGATGTTTGCACATTTTTAATCTTTTTCCTTAACTACTTAGACTTTGGGTGTTTTTAATTTTTTACTGCTAGGGACCTCAAAAAAAGATTTTCCCGGGCATCCGAAAGTCTAAATTCGACCTTGTAAATTATGATGATGGTTGTTAATATAATAATACTTAATTAATAGTATAATTATATTACGATTTACGATGTCATTAAAACGGCGATTTATTATCATAATATTTATAATTGATTAGGTATTTATATCTATCGATTACGTCAAAACAACCTGTTTTGAAAACATAATATTTATTATATCGATTAAAACCGCCAACTACTGTTCATATTGTTTTAACAATATATATATTATACAGAGCTTAAAATTTATATAAATAGTAAAAAGTAGTCATATAAATTTCAAATGGCATTAATATTTTTTATTAGTTAGCTTTAAAACAAGTCACAATGTTTTTATTGTTTACTGTCGAAATTTAGGTGTAAATAAGTCAGAATGTTGAACTTTCAACTTCTTAATATATAATATATTATAATACCTGTATGGCTATATTTAGTATATTTTATTTATACAAATTAATACGATTTAATTCAAAATTACGATATAAATTAAGTAGGTAAAATATAAATAAAGGATATAATAGGACAATAGGTACATATTAAAAAATATAAACGTATATAGGCAGGTAATCTTAATTGTATACTTTTGGCAATATTGGTGAATTAAGTGAATTTTTTTATTATTTAAATTTTTATTTACCTATTTGAGAGCATTATTTCTATTTTTATTTTAAAATATTTATATTCCATCGATTAAGTATGTAATATTTTGTATTTAAATTATTAATAAATATTTTATTCAATCCTAAAAAAGTCCGAGAAAGACTATATTATTAATTTTTTATGATACATTTATAAAAGTGTTTAACTGATTAATCATATATAGGTAACTATATTATAGTCTATCCTAGACAATAATAATACATAATATATGTAATTATTACCAAGGGCATTGAGATTCGTGTAGAAAAAACCAGCTATGAGTACTAACTACAACACAAGAGCTGGGTTGCATTTAACACTAAACATTTAATTAATCAACAATATTGTGAGCTAATGGCTTAAACATGATTTAGTAGCTTACCTATGATTGATCAATTACATTTTAGTGATCCATTTAAATTATTCAATTTTTTTTTTTACAACTCGACATACCTAGTAGTATTGTAGTATTTATGGTGTAAATGTTATTCAGTGTGCAAAAGTAAACTATAATAGTTTAACGGGCTATAAAAGTACCTATCACGCACACGTACAACACTGTCAACCGTATAGATAATACATATCATTTGTCCGACGACTATTAGTTTGTATTTTTTCGTCAGTCCTAATAATAATGCGACTAACAGATACTCTCTTTCTTACTAACAGTGTGAGTTATTTTATTTAAGTAATATAGTTTACGGTATTCGTGTGTCTTAAATACGGTTTTAACAATCGTATATAATTCTAAAGCAGGGTTTTCACTTCTCACTAGGTACATCGTCGTGTCGTGTTGAGTTGAATATTTACAACTTGTTGCTAACATTTTGATCCATACGAAGGTAGGTATTACTGTATTAGATATATACGGTACACGACGCCCCGAAACGATACCGTCGATACTCTGTCCAGTGAGAGGATACGCCGCCGCGCTGTTTCTGCCTTCTGCGCATGTAGGCTGACGGCAGAGCTCACGCCGAGGCCTTTATAATATTATAGTGTGAAGGTGAACTCGGCTTAACAGTTGTACCTACTACCTATTAAACGTCTAAACGCGACAATATCGAGTACATTTCATAATCGAAACCAATATGTTCACGGGAAATCAAAAAAATTAATAAATAATTCGAATTTTCTCGATTGTGGGGCAAAAGCGGATTTTAAGAGCTCCGCGGTCCGGCCTGTTTCGGACATATTTTTAGACAATTCGTACATGGCATAATAATAATTATTGAGGGCATTTGTCGACATTACGGCAAAAAATAATAAAAACCAGTCTATTCTGGAAGAGTTATGGTAATAACATTACACTATTATAGGCATAGTAAAATTAATATAAATAAATAATATTATTAATTTTATTATGATAGGCATTAGGCACCAATCGGCGTATCGCGTATTCTACAAAATAGTATTGTCGTTTTGCGCAGCAGAAAATATTGTTTGTACGCCGAACGGCCTGCACAACCAGCGATAAAAAATACCACGGTGATGCCGTGATGGTAACAAGTAACAACAACAACAACGCTATTCTATCACGGAACGACAGCGGTGCACCACACAGTGCACACACTACACAGGCACCACCTCCACAGACCGCACTTCTCCTCCACCGTTTCGTCCATGAGATCGACGGCGGCGACAACGGGCGAGCGATAAGGAAACGGCGTCCGGCGAAACAAAACGGCGATTCGCATAACCTCACTCCGCAGTCTGCACCATCACATAATACGTTTATGCTCCGCACCGTCCACAACGGCAGCGTTGCAGCAGCCCAGGACGCCCAGCCGACCTGAACACCGTTCTCGAGCGCGACCGTCGTCTAGTGTTTTCGGCTTTCGCCCGTGGTGCGCATGCGTTTGTGTTTGTGCGCACACCTGGCCGTGTGTTTTTCTCTGCGCCCGCGCGCTCGTTTGTGTGTGTGTGTATCTGAGTACTGTTTATTGTGCGTGTGTGCGTAAGCGTCTTTATTGTGTTTGTGTGTGTTTGTGCACTGCAACGCCGTTTGGTATCCTGGCGATTTTTCGCCTTCCAGCGTCCATTTTCATCGTTGTTGTCGTCGACACCGCTTCGTCGTTGTCGAAGTCACCGCCGCCACCGTCGTCGTTTCCAAACGTCGCACCGTCGTCTCCGCGACGGTTACTGTCACGCAGCGAAACACGCCCGCGTGAACGATAGGGGTTCCCAGGGACCGGACACGCGTCGTCGTCGTCGGCACGCCGTCCTGCGGCTGTGCGCGCGCGAACGCAACCGTGGAAACCGCACGCTCTCGGAGATGTGACCGTCGGACTCGTGGCACAGCCGCAGACGCTAGCCGCAAGCACGCGGTCCAGTTGACGCTAGCCGCCGCGTCCGCAGCCGCCAGCCGCAACATGGCGTCGTCCAACACGGATTCGCCTGGTAAGTACTATTTGGCGCGCCGTCGCTACCGTCCCCAAATGCCCCTGCCCCACCTGAACCGATCAGGCTCAACGATCCTTCGATGGTTCGGTCTGGCTGGTACTGGGTCCTCCTATGTTGTGTATTAGGCCGGCTTCAGCCGTTCGCAATTGTTTTAAAACCATTAAATTCTGCCATCATTGACAAAGTATGGCAGTCGACTATTACATAATGTGACGACATGCAGTAAAATATTATGAAATTAAAGAACTTGCATGCGTATACTGTATTGTGACTGTTCAGATGCGTACAGTTTTGTTATGCACACATAACACAAAGCTAGTGAGAAAAACTAGTACTGTGAACTTTGCTTTATGCGAACATCGGCGGCTAGTTTGAATGCCGTTGGTGCTCTTAATGGATTTAATATTTTTCCCGACACTAGGCAGCAGGTATTTTATGGTCTACTTTTGTCTTTTGTAGATGTTTATTTCAAAAATGTAACACCGTCACAATATCATCTTATCATATCCAATATTATCAGACTATACTCCGGCCCACGAGAGAGTATTACCGTTTTGCGCATGCAGACTGACGGCGGAGACCGTTCCGAGGCCCCATTTCCCCCACTATTTCTGCGACCACTATACACCGTATAGCGTTGAGCGCTGCCGACCGGTACCGAACAAGTTGTCGGCATGCCGAGTAGTGGGGAATGCGCGGAATCGGACGAGTTTTCGTCGGGCGACGGTAATACTCTCTCCTGGGCCGGAGTATAGTCTGTATTTATCTTTCACACATTTTACTACTTCCTAATTGTAATTAGCTGCCACTTAAAATGAGTCACTCGCCTGTTAACAGGTCCAATAATTTTGTTTGCTGATAACTGATTACTTAATAAAATTGTTTCTACCTACTTTCATAATATGATATTATCTACAATATCAATTGTATCTACATATTATTTTTTAACACTAACAATACCTAAACTTAGAATTTGAATAAAAAATATTGTTGAAAAGAAAAATAGGTACCTACCTAACCATAGCAGAATATACAATTTTTAGAGCATATTATTGTACGTAAACTATGGTAAATAGATAATACAAATCGAGATACAAATTGAATACATATCTGTTATGAATACAATAGATATACTGTAGTATGAGTAGGTACTATATTATATTTTATAATAATCATGGGTTTGAGTCCAATACTTACAGAGGGTATAGTATGAGTACATGATACAATTATAAGTAGGCATATTATATTACCTATATTATACAATTTAAATTAGAATAAAAATGACGGAGTTTCATTGGTGATTTGAGTTGGGGTCTTTATATTTATTTATAAGTAAGGAAGGAGAGTCATCAGAGACAGAAAGGAATTTTTAAAGAAAATATAGGTATATTATAATTGTGACATATAAGATGGAGAGATTTAGAAAATTATAATACCCAAATAATACCCAATATTAATCTCCTATTATAAGTTAAAAATGCTTGCCAAGTCAGAGATCGGCATGTAAACATTCTTGATTTTTAGAAATTTATTAACCGTATGTCCGACCGTATGTAATATGTATGTATTTTATTAGTATATGATCAAACCAAAATTGTACTTTAAGGAAATTATTAGATATTATTATAATTATTATAAGGATATTAGATTATAGTAGAATATAGGTTGAATATAACTGGTTTGAATTTAAGAGATATTAAAGTAATTTTGCTTGTTTTATTTATTAAACTTGATAACAAATAGTATGCATATGTATCTATTACACATATATATACTACATATCGACGGCCCTAACAAAAAAGGTCCTATCTCGTTTTTTTCAACTTTTCAGGATGAACCGAACTAACATTCAAATATAAATTCTTATTCTGTTTTTTAACATATAAGTTTGAAAATTTGGATACATATTAAATAGTTTATGATCATAAAAAATATGAAAATATCAATTAAAAAAAAATAAACTTTCATAGAGTTTTGATCGGTTTTTTTTGCGGTTTTTTGAGATACTACCTTAAAAAAAAAAGTAGTTTCTATACTTACAACCTTCCTCGATGGTTATAAACTATTAAAAAAAAGTAGTATACTTACGACCTCGCTTACGACCATTGTTTTTTCTATGTATTCTAATTTACTTTGTAACAAAAGGCAATATTAATATTATAAATAATGAAACAGATCATAATAATATTAAAATCTAATATATACAACCTTATTCGTCTGTTCTATGATTGTGTCACTTCTTCGTAGGTATCTCTAAACATACGACGGTTTTCGTTGGAAATATATATTTCGGGAAATTATAAAAAATAATAATTAATATCTAATCTGTTTGGAACACTACACATATGATCTTTTTCATGGTTTTTCATGGATATACAGAAAAATATTCTTTATCAGATGATATTGATATCTCAATATTGACAAAAATCGAGATAGGACCTTTTTCGTTGGGGCCGTCGATATATACAGATATATATTGTTCTATGATATATATCCTCTTAATATAAATAAATGTCAAGTAATATCCTTTCCCCGTAAAATTAATTCCTTTAATTTTCAATATAAAATCAATGATTTTCCACTTTCAAATGTAAACTCTATTAAAGATTTGGGAATATATTTCGAAAAAAATTTAGCTTTAAAACTAATCATAAAGTAATGGTTAATAAATCATATAAGATGCTTGGCTTCATTAACAGAAATACGAATGATTTTAAAAACATTACCTGCCTAAAAACTCTTTATTACTCATTAGTTAGTTCTTGAATTTGGTACACTTATCTGGTCAAGTGACTACTCAACATATAATACTGATTTAGATAATGTCCAATTTAAGTTTTTAAAAAGAATAGCCCGTGTCATAGGTTATACTTTATCACATTGCTCGGTTAGACACCTTCAAGATTCTATAGGGGTTCATCATCTTGAAGTAAGATAAAATTTAGCGGACATAAGGTTCATTTTTGACATTCTAAACGGTTTTGTTATTTGTCCTGAGATCATCTCTAATCTTGGATTGATTTTTATACTGTATTAATATTTTTACTTACTGTTCATTTACCTATTACTTTTATTGTTGTTTTAATTATTATTAATGTTTTGGAAAACTATCCTAATTATTTTTACTTTGTTCTATTATGTTTTATATTTTTTTGAAATTTCTCGTTAGTCTGTTGTATTATTGTATATTTTTATCTTTTCTGTTAAAGGACTTATCGTCGTTGAATATATATAATAAATACATAAATAAATGATACTACTATACTAGATGCCCGACTATATTCTACTGTGTATGGGTTTTTGAAGCCAAGTAGGTTGGGCAATGTTTACAATCTATTAAAATATTATAGTTTATAATATATAGAAGATTGATAACATCGATTTGTAAACCATATAGGTTAGGGTACCTATAGGACGATTGGCTACAAGTATGGTCTCCGAATCAGGCATCTAGTATTATAGTATATATCTGTGACTTAATATAAATATTTAAAAAACTATTGGTGATAGAAAGCGAATGTAAGGGGGCTCTAAATAAGGGGGCCAACCAGAGATTACTGGATGGGACGCACGTATCTACATATTTGTGATAAGAAAATACAATGTTAATAAAATAAAAACAACAATATTTTGAAAATTCCTTATCACTCACATTCGCAGTTGAAAAATCACAGATTTATATATATTACTAGATAGCGAACTCCGGTCATGAATTGAAGCTTCAAGGTCGGTTGGCAATTGTATGGTATTTCATATGACAAATAAGATGATATTATGATTTATTTTACATCGTATTTTATTATTTTTAAACATTTAGTTTACAAAAAAAAAAAATATTTTTCCTAATACATTTTGTATAATAAATGAAATGTTTTGCCAACCGACAAAATGGCGGCCGGGCCGTTCACAGCTGAGCTTCACTTGTAACAATGTAAATTGTATAAGAGTTCCTTATCTAGTGTAGTATAGAAGTCTGTGTGAAGAATATTGAAACACTTGTACACTAAAGTGTTAACCTTAACACCAAGTTTTTAAAATGAACAAAGCTATTACTTAGACATTATGATTTAAGGTAATATTATAGGATAAATTAATCTTAAATGGGGGTAGACGTCATGTTTAAACGGTCGGGTTAAAAAAACCAAAATCAAAAACTTGAGTTACTTCAGGTTTCCTACCGAACCATTAAGGTGAGTTTATTAAATACATTTCAGAAGTAGATGAGTAGGTATACGTTTAATAATTATGTTTGTGGTACTAATTTAAAGCTTCAAACAATGGATGGAAAATTGTCAGACAGAAATATTTTTTTAAACAAAAATCCTGCTGTTTTACAAAAATGTTATCAGCTACCTATGTGGTACCTATGTAAAGATAATATGTGTTTGAATCCAAATGTTAGGAAGTGTCTTACAATGAATACTGTGCCAACATTATGTAGTAATGAGAATTTATAACAAATAATGGTGCTACTATAGTAATGCGGTCTATCGAGAGTAGACCATTTTTGCAGATTTACAGTATCTAACTTCTAAGTAGGTACTTATCACTCAGATAATAATAATCGTCCAAACGTACTATTAATTAATAGACCTAAAATTCTGTTACAAAAATGTTCAAAAATATAGTTTAGATTTATTTCATTGGTATTGAACGGCATTCGTGCAATATGCAATCTACCACACAACAAACGACTACAGTCGTTGCCAAATAAATTGAGCCGGCGGCGGCGTGATAACGGAAAACCAGTGGTTCTCCGTATTTCAATACTATTACCGAAAATACATCAATAAACCAACAATTGTTACAAAAATTATTTTACGGGTTATTTTACCATATTAATTTAAAATCCAATATTCTGATGATAATCTTTTAACAAAAAGCAGACATTTTAAAATAATATAATAATAATAATAATAATAAATAATATAAATAATATGATAAAAAAATAACAACAACTATAAATTATACATTATAATATTATAAATTACAATTTTAATATACATAACAATAGTTTGTTATGGCTGTTTTTTTGTTGATGACCCGCCGCACCGTGCGGTCGAAACACACCGGGTTAGGTTAGTTGTTTTTAGCAGTGTACTGCAGCCTGAACGATGGCATGGGAGAGAGAGAACAAAAAATTCTGCAGAAAATTGTTTGCACTGAGCCGGGTTCGAACTGGTGACTGCGCGCGTCGTAGCCAACTGTGTGACCTATGCACCACACTGCCAACCCGTTTGGGCTACACTTACTGAAAAGCGCCGCCGCCGCCGACTCAATTTATCTGGCAACGACTGTACCATAATTTTAGATTCTGAGCGAAACGATGAATGTATTGATTTTACAATAATTTGTGTTTTTTTTTAAATTTTTTTTTTTGTCTGTCATCACCGAGGTCATCACGTTTTAGGACAGTAAAAGTGCTTGGATTTTCTTCAACAGTAGCTTTTCTGGTAGGAAATCTAGTTGGTACTTTGGGGGGTCAAAAGTGAAAATTTCACAGTAGATTTCAAAAGCGGAGTGAAAAACAAAATAAAAATTAAGGAAAAAAGGGAATTTTTACACTAAAATCTATTTTTAAAAAATCGATTTTGGTTTTGGTGCAACTCTTAAAGAAATGACCCTAGGTAGGTACATGAAATCTTTACTGAATGTTTGTATTAGCATTTTCTATACACGATAACATTTTCAAATTTTTTGATTTATTTTGAACTGTTTAGGCACATTTTCATTTTCCATTTTTTTTTTAGTTTTTTTTTCTAAAAATATCAATGAAATTTTATTTGTTGGTTTAAAAAGCTTGAAAATTTAATACAAGGCTCCTACTATATTGTTACAAAGGCATTTGAAAAATATTAAAAATCCTTATTCACAGATTTTTTTTATAAGCATTCAAAGTTCAAAAACTGACAAAATATGGAAAAATCAAGAAAATTAGCAAATTATTTTGAGTTAAGAATTCGTAATAATGTTTCTTTTTAAATCTAAGGTTTTAAAATGTAATACAAGATTCCTTAGATTATCTAACCTATCAAAAAAAAATGTCTATAAGAAAGTCAAATTAAATTTTTATGAGCGTTTGAAATTCAAATTTTTACAATATTGATATTCACTCGATTTCTCATGTAGCGATTTCCTTATTTTGTTGTAATTTAAAAATGAACTACTGTAGATACATGAAAATTTCACTGAATATTTATATCAGTATTTTCTTTGCACCATACAATTTTGACTCTTTTTGAGCTTTTTACGGACATTTTCAGTTTTCAATTTTTTGTTTTTTTTTTTTTTATAAATATCAATTAAGTTCGAGACAAAGTTTTATCTGTTAGGCCAAAAAGTGTAAAAATTTAACACAAGGCTCCTGATATATTGTTACAATATCAGTTGAAAAATATTAAAAATACTAAGGCACAATTTTAGATTCTGAGTGGAACGATGAATGTATTGATTTTACAATGATGTGTGTTTTTTTAAAATTTTTTTTTGTGTCAGTGTACACGATTAGTAGTCGAAATAATGCTTTGAATTTCAACTTCAGTATCTTGTTCGATTGGAAAGTGAATCTATTTGGAGCATTCGGGAGGTCAAATTTTAAAATTCCCTATAGTTTTCACAAGCGCCGGGATTAAACACATAAAAATTAAGGAACATTAGATATTCACTCGATTTCTCATGTAGCGATTTCCTTATTTTGTTGTAATTCAAAAACGAATAACTGTAGATACATGAAAATTTCACTGAATGTTTATATTAGCATTTCCTATACACCATACAGTTTTGAAAATATTTTGACTATTTTTGAGCTGTTTACGGACATGTACAGCTTTCAAATTTTTTTTTATTTTTTTTTTTCTATAAATATCAATAAAGTTTTATACGTTGAGCCAAAAAGTGTAAAAATTTAATACAAGGCTCCTGATATAATGTTACAATATCAGTTGAAAAATATTAAAAATACACAGGCACAATTTTTTTTTATAAGCATTTAAAGATCGAATTTTGTCAAAATTTAATAATTATTTTGTAGTTAAAAATTTATAAAATGTTCAACTTTTATATCTAAGGATTGAAAATTTAAAACAAGATTCCACGTAAGTAGTTAATTTTGTTACCAAAAAATCTGAATAATACATAAGCTCAGTTTATTTTTATTGTCATTTTAAGTTCAAATTTGGAAGAAATTACATAATAAAAAACCTAGAGTAACTATTTTAGTTATTTTGTTGTGATTGTATAATGTTATTGAATTCCTGGGTACTTGAAACTTCTAAAGTACACTATTATATATCTATGATAGTATCAGGGCTTGTTGTTGATGTATAACATTTTATAAGTTGGAATTTATGAATTTAGAATTTATTATAGGTACCTATTAAAGGTCAATTTTTTTTTTAATACCATAATGTATATAATATGTCTTAAACCTAGACTGACATACAGTCTCCGTTCAGAATCGTTTTTCTTATACAATGATATTATATCATTGAATTCAAATGTAATACCATCCATTATACAGTTTCCCCTTTTTTAACCTACTGTACAGCAGAGCACCTTTTTTTTTATAAGCATTTAACCTTCTATCGGTCGCGCGGTTTTTTTTTCATATTTGGTCGCGTGGGGTAAAAATTTTCCAAAATGTATGTATATTGATGAACAACTGTATTTATTTATTTAAAATTATTTAAAATTATACATTAGGTACATTTTAATATTTAAATCCGAAATTGTGTTTTTTTTTTTTAAATTAAATTAAATTATAATATTAATTTTATATATATTCTTGTTTTATTTACATTTCTTCACAGCAGCTTGGACACATTTCTATGAGATGATCACGGCAAATAAGTCTTGCACAATTTGTGCATACTTTTGTTGTCTTTCGATCCTTATTTCTGTCACAAAAAGAACATCTCCCTGATTGTCGAAATCGTTGAATTTCCTCTGTAGCATTTACACGAAATCCATATTTTACAATTTTATTTTTTATTTCCTTTGGTAATGATATGATAGTGCAGCGATATTCCATATGCTCCTTCATCAATTCTCTAGATAAACATTTCAAAAAATCAAGACGTGTCTTTTTGTTATGTGGGCAGTTTTCTTGATATATTATTTGAGCATTGACACCTCCGATGTTTAGCATAGAATAAAATACTGTCAATGGCCATCGGAAACTTTTCCTAGCTACTGTATAATTTTCCGTCATGCGATCCATGTTATCGACGGCGCCTTTGGTGGCATTATATAAAGTAATTATTTCCGGCTTTCTTGCTTCATTCGTATTTGTATCAATTGCTTTATCAAAATGCATTGTTGAAAGAACTAAAACAATTTTATTTTATTTTTTTCGGCATGTATGAAACCAACGTTTGATTTTTACTAAATGCAAAGTACGAAGATGTTATAATTCGGTGTTTTGTTTGAGTAAACTCGGGGGGGATCTGTCTTTTATTTTTCCGTAAAGTACCTAGTAGTGAAAGTTTATGTGTATTTTGTAAATCGTTAGCTAACTCAACACTGGTAAACCAGTTGTCAGTAGTAACATTTCTACCAGTTTTTGAAATCGGTTGAATTAACCGTTTGACAACACTAGCGGCTCCATTATCAACTTTGAACGGCCCATCAGGTTGTGTACCAGCATAAATTTCAAGATTTCCTGTGTAAAAATTTAAATTGTCGCAGAGGGCAAATATTTTTATTCCATATTTTGCTGGCTTACTCGGTATGTATTGACGAAATGAACATTTTCCACGGAACGCTTGTAATTTTTCATCGATGCAGGTATATTCAGACATGGAGTATGCCGTTTTACAACTGCTCACAAACATTTCAAATATTGTCCGTATATGTGTTATTTTATCAATTTTATGTCGTTCACTTCGACCTCGAACGTCATCAAATCTAATGCAACGGAGTATAAACCGGAATCTTCGTTCTGACATTACGCACGAAAATAGTTCTGCCCCTGTTCCATCCTTTTTCCATAAATCTTCCGAACTTCGGTGTCCACATTTTATAGCACCTAAGTATACATACACAAAAAAATTGAAATAAAAATAATATGGCAAATATAATATGATATAATTATAATATTTTATAATAATATATATAATATAAATATATTATAATTATACTATACAACTAATATAATACAAATATAATATGATATAATTATAATATCTTATAATAATATATATAATATAAATATATTATAATTATACTATACAACTAATATAATACAAATATAATATGATATAATTATAATATTTTATAATAATATATATAATATAAATATATTATATATTATATATTATAATATACATAATATAAATATATTATAATTATACTATACAACTAATAAAGTTATTTTATTTTATTATATTTACCTATCATATAAAGAATTCCAATGACAGCTTTTATTTCTGCAATATTTGTGTCAGAAGCATCTCGTTCCCTCGTAAAATTTGGTCGTACCTTTTGGATGTATACGTTCGTACATTTGACTATAATTTCCAACATAGATTTTGGAAAAAATATATACCACGAATCTACTATAGTTTTCGCTTGTCTCGCAATTTCTTTTACACCTGATTTCTCGGTAAGAACATTCTGTGCATGGGCTCGTCTTATCTGAAGTGGTTTTTCACGGTTCCATTTAGTACCATCTTTACCATAATACGAATCGACCAACCGCATAGCCAAAGGTAAGTCGTCATCAGATTCATGATAACTTTTTTCACCACAAACATCAATAGTATCGCGTGTAATAGCATTATCTTCATCCGAGTATCCCGACTGTTCTGTGTCTGTATCGTGATTCGAAACTTGTGATTGTTCAGCATCTTCATTTTCATCACTAGAAATATCACCCCAGATTTCCTCATCACCAGCATCATCTAACATTTGTTGAATACGTCGACGTTGGAATTCGTCCATGTTGTATAAAAAAAATAATAATTGGTCGCACGGGGTAAATAATTTCCAAATACGACACAATCAACTTAAGCGAACGGTTAAAACTAACTGATTCACTAAAACAAGCTTTGGTCGAATCATATAATCAGATAAACATGTTATCAACAGCTATACAAGATATAACGTAGGCACGTTATCGTGGGAAAGTTTAACTGATGTCTATATTTAGACTGGGAGATTATTTACCCCGCGCGACCGATAGAAGGTTAAAGATCGAATTTTGACGTAATTTATCAAATTTAAAATTGAATAATTATTTTGTAGTTAAAAATGTATAAAATGTTCAACTTCTATATGTAAGGATTGAAAATTTAAAACAAGATTCCACGTAAGTAGTTAATTCTGTTACTAAAAAATCTAAAAAATACATAATATTACAGTTTATTTTTAAGTCATTTTAAGTTCAACTTTGGAGAAAATTACATAAAAAAAAACCTAGAATAACTATTTTAGTTATTTTTTTGTGATTCTGTAATATTATTCGTGGGTACTTGAAACTTCTAAAGTACACTATTATATATCTATGGAGTATGGACTATGATAGTATCAGGGTTTGTTGTTGACGTATAACGCATTATAAGAACCTAATGGATATTGTGATATGATTAATTTGGAATTTACTATAGGTACCTAATAAATTCACCTAGGTAAATTTTTTTTAATACGATAGATAAGTATTAGATAAATATTATAGATAGATAAAAGTATACATTAATATGTCTTATACCTAGACTGACATACCGTCTCCGCTCAGAATCGTTTTTCTTATGCAATGATATTATATCATTGAATTCAAATTTAATATTATCCATTATTAAGTGACCCACTTGTAATCTACTGTACAGCAGAGCACCTTTTTACTTGTGACCTACCTATATTACCTATATTATATTTTACAATATAAATAAAACAGTTATTAGGTACATTAATACAAAACAAACTATTATTAAATTTGAAGTTTTCAAATAGGTAGCACATTTCTAATTTTTTAATAGGTACCCTTTACAATCTTACATAGATAAATAAAAAAAATTATCATTTATGTGCGATTACATCAACTGTACGAGGCTTTAGTTAAATTACTATGTAACATTTGGTGGTTCATATCATGCATTTTTATTTAATTTCTTTATACAATTTATAAATATTTTAAATATTTTCGCTGAAAAGGGTTAAATTTGTATCGGGTAGACTGCATACTATATAAGAAAAGTGACGGTAGACCTCACACTATAGTAGTACCCAATTAATACAACCTTGTTACAATAAGTAATAACTAGTTCATTTAAAATATTTATCTGTACCTAATAATTTATCTTTACCGAACATAGCAAAAATTAGCACAAAACCATTTCAGAGTACAAAATATAGTAAATATTAGCACTTAATCAGTGGCGGATCTAGGATTTTTTTATGGGGGGTGCTTAGGTTAAGGTATAATATTGTATTCTACATCCTGATGGCATGACATTTTTTTAGTCCTAATTGGCAATTGCACATAAAGCACATAATTGTAATAAAAAAAAAATAAAACATAAAAAGGTAAACAAAAAATTTAAATTATATCACATCCACTTATTGTATTTTTTATTTCTTAATAATTGATTGACAAAAAACAAATTAAAATGTTTAGGACATTTTGACCAATCTTCTAATTCCATCCTCCTTTTTTTTCCGAGCGAAGGTGTCAACTACTTAAGATATCTATAATTTTTAAATGTATAATAACAAAGTATTTAAGACAGTGGCGTATATAGGGGGGAGGCTCCCTAGGCCAGAGCCCATTGTTAAATTGCAGGTTCAATTAAACCATTTCATGTATATCTACACTGTTTACAGTTTTTCACCATGATTAATTTAACCGGTTGATTAAAATCGTTTTGAGGAATCAACAAGGAAATGTTAGATTGTCTGGACTTGCTTTGATGACTTTTGTGTTAAATTCACAATAAGATAACATTAAAATATATATTATGTATTTATGAAATTGTCAATATTTTTTAAAAAAGAATTAAAAATGAATTTTACATAATAATTATAAAATTGAATTGATCAATTTTTATTTGTATTTATAACCACCCAGCTCCTTAAAAAATGTATAGTTATGGCTATGTTAGTCTCCTTATACTGATTAGTGATAAATTGTCCCATTGTGAAAATAATTTGTACATACGCCACTGATTAAAGTAATAGACAAAATTATTATTCATAATAATACCGTGGATTTATAATAGTATAATCGGTATTCGGTGATAAAACTAGTGACAACTATTATTCTATTCTGTGTAACTACTAGATAATATTATCTACATCGTGGAAAATATCTATGCTTTAAACAGTGTGATACTAAATCCAATATTCATGTCTGATACCCGTGACCCTTGGGTTGTATCATAGAACAATATTTATTTATAGTTGTATCGTTCCATTTTTCAGTCACTTCTGGTTATCATTTATCAGTATTGTTGAGGGAAAAATTACTTATAAAAAAAAAAAATAATATTATTTATTTTGTTACCGATTTAGTATAACGTACCCGGCCCACTGAAAAATATGTATAGTATATAGTATTTGTTTTTAACTAGGTAGCAACATGCCAAGGGGGGTGTTATAGCACCCTAGCACCTCCCTCTGGATCCGCCACTGCACTTAATGCAATGTTAAATGGGTAAATAAAATAAAATAAAATAGATACATATTTTTGTTCATAATTTTGTATATTCCAGTAAAGCTACTTTTATATGAGCTATCAACCAATATTTAAGAAATGTGTTTTATGGTGTTTTTCAAGTATTAAGCTTGGTAGTGAATTAACTACTTCATTTATACTATTTAATTTGTAATATAAGATAAAGTTCTGAAAATCTTCACTGCCCTTCTTCTAGCTAATGTGAATCTAACAATACCTCTAACTACAAAATCCGTTCTCCAGTTTCGGAGATCTACTTAGCTCAATGAAAATCTAGTAAAAATTAACTATGAAGAATCAAATAATTTTTTTTAAACATTTTTAATCTCAAATTTTGTACCTACTTGACAATCACTTTTCAATGAGCTATCAACCAACTTTCTAGCTATAATAGTTAAGGAGAAAAGTTAAAAAATAGACATTTTGGGACTGTTCACACAAACGTTTTTGTGGATTTAACTCGTTATACCCAGTGGTTGAATTGGGGGGGGGGGGGGGAGTCCCACTTCTATTTTAAAAATATTTTAGCTTACCCCTTCTAATTTCAAGAATTAATAAGACATTTAAATGTTCGGGGACACACACAAATGTTTTATACTTTTGCATCCCCCTTCTATTTTTTTTCCAATTCAAGCACTGGTTATACCTCTTGGGTATGATATCGAATCCCTCTCATTAATATTTTATATTAAAGCTAGCTTAATTACCCATCTACTCATTATTGCTGTGTTACAGTTTTATTATTTTCCTATTTAACTCAAATTCTAGAAGTTTTCAAAATTCTGACTTTTTTCATTTCAATTATCATACTTACTTGATTAAAACGATGGTATAAAATTAATGTAAAAGCTTAAAAATGACAAAAAAGTGGATATGTGAATGACGTTCTGCTGTACAGCTGGTTACAAGTGGATCACTATAATGGATGATGTAATGGGCAAATGTAAGTTCCCACACTAGATAGCAGGCAAAAATCACACCCGGGTATGCATACGTAAGTCCCCACATGAAAAAAAATTATACCGAATACATACTTCCTTCCCACTTTATTCAGACTTGGGACTGACAACTTAAATGTAGTTGGTTTGGTTGAAATTTGTTTGTTTTTGTGTTGCATAAAAAAAGTTCAATCAATTTTTTAATTAAATCTAGTCCAAATATAGGTACTCGTCTAATATGCTACCTACCGCTACTTCGTTGGTGTAGTATGCTACCTACCGTAAAATAAGCTACCTACCATAAAATAATAACAAATTAACAACAATTTATTACTAAATAATTTATGAATTTACCGTTGTCAAGTACTTCATAATATTTCAATACGTCATTATATATTATTATACATTGTATACTATTTTTTTATAATATTTCAATTCGTCATTATATATTATTATACATCATATACTATTTTTATATCATTCCATTTTATCGTAATATGTAAAAAAAGGTTTTTTTTTCTTAAAAAGTGATAAGTTTGACAACTTTTTTTTTGACATCGTAAATAAGTAGTTTTTAATAAATCACCATTTGAGTCTCTTTTACGATTATTTTTTTGATATTCTTTCAACGTACCTCCACAAATAATACCATCTTTTAATTTGGAACGACTACCAAGTTCTGGGAGCAAGTTTCTCTCTTGAAGATAATTAACACATGTTTTTTCCTCATTACATATTATATTATGCCCGTACAAATAGCGCATTGATTTATTCATTTTTGTTTATTTTAAAATAAAAAAATAAAAAGTAAAACTCGCAAAGAATAGGATACTTACACGAACACAACACAGACAAAATATAGACTAAAATAATATATCTAACAGTAAGTTATCATGGGTCTTGGTGGATCAGATATCAAAATGGCTATTAAGATATAATTTTGTACAACTGCTATAATATGTTATTCATCTTAATAACTCAAATGTACTTTCCTGTAATCAGGGCAGTATTTACGCCTAGGCCGGCAAATTTTTTGGGGTGGCAAATTTTGTAAGAAATTAAAAAAAAATCATATAAATATTTTATACATTTATGTAACTGCGTAAATTAATATTATATAATATTTAATAGTAATATAAATAATATTTAATATTATAGATAACATGGGTATAAGATTAAAAATTTATAATTATTTGTTTTGTTTATAATAACTATTGACCTAATTTCTTTAAAATGAAATAAATTTATTAGAAATAATTACAACATTTTTTTTTTCTTGGGGTAGGGGCAGTATATTTAAAAGGGCCTAGGGCGGCACTTGTTCTAAATCCGGCCCTGCCTGTAATAAAATGAAATAAAATAAAAATAACTATTGTGGGTAGCATACTACACGCATACAGTGTTATGGTAGATACCATTTTATGGGTAGGTAGCATATTAGACGAATACCCAAATATATAATAAAAATTAATAATATAATGTGTAGGTATCAGGTATGGTTCACATATTATTTGTATTAGTAGGTATAAAATAATAATAGTTATAATAATTATAATAATTGTTATAGAAAAATTTAAATTTTATTTGGCTTATTGCAAAAACTCAAACCCTTCACATAGTCATACTGTGAAATTATTTTTAAGTTGTAATCTGATATAGTTATTATTGATATAGTTTCCCCCTAGTATTTGGGCTAGTGCTAGTTCTGATACAAGTCTTACTACAAACGCTCGCGAAAGTACAAATAATATGTGGACCATACCTACACATTATATTATTAATTTTATTATATATATTTGTACCAACTACGTTAAGTTGTCAGTCCTAAGTCTGAATACATTTTCGTGTGGAAACTTACGTACGGGTGTAATTTTTTTCTTGTGGGAACTTACTAAACCCCAGTGTAGTATATAATATCATTATATACTAAAAGCTATTCTGTTTGTCAGCCTATTGTATTTTATATTATTGTTAATTATTAGGACTCATAAGTATTACTCATTTTATCACCCTGTACCCATTGTATCTATAAATTAGATTGGATAGGTACCTACTATTTTTAAATTTCATAAAGTATAGTAAAATAATATTTTAAACATTTTTAAAAATATATTTGCCTGCTTAAATTCCTATTTTTGACAACAATCAGCTCTAAAAATGTTATATTGGTAGGCTTAATGTCATGAAACATGATTGAAATTTAGATTTGTATGCACTAGAAAAGCGGAAAACATTATACATTTATGCATAAAAAAACCTAGAAATGCTTACGTCATATGCTTTTAATATTTAAAAAAAAAAATATTATGTATCTAACATGTACCTAACATGTCTATAAAATGTTGGATTCTGTTCCTTTGGTAAGTATTAAACACTTAATAGGTAGTGGTTTTTGGAGAAAATTTTTTAAAGAAATAAGTTTATATAACTGGAGTTACTGCTTTTTTCCCTAGTAATCGTTGTATTCAGAAAGCAGTATCCAACAAAATCCAAATTATTGGTGTAAACTTAATGTTGGTCCCAAAATAGAATTAAAATATATACCATAATGTTACTGATAACTTGATAAGGAATAATATAATCACAATTTAAAAAAAAAAACACATTTAAACCGTATTTGCTGTGTAATAAGTCACTATAAACATCATATTATTTTGAAAGTACTACATATTTTGTGTACGCGTTACTTATTAAGTGTAAATCAGCTTAAAAATGAATAGCAGATCAAAAAAAATGGTTCAAATGGTTTCCAAAAAACCTATATTGAATACAAATTCTAGAACACATAAACATCACTTTACAAACACATGCCAATGATATCAGAAGCCATTAGGCAGTAACTCCAAATAAAAGTGTACTTACTGCTTTTCATCTTCTGACTAATATAAGCCAATAAGCAGTAAGTCCATTATAACCCATAAAAAATGTATAAAAAAACCTTTTTTTTGTGTTCAGTAGATTCCTCATGAAAAATACAATAATATGAAATCTCTTTAATGTTTAAAATATTATTATTTTTACTCTACGGACTAATTTAGTGTTGAAAACTGTTTTATTGTTTCCTGAACATAACGATTTTTGGAGTTACTGATTAGTGGCTTATGACGGCAGAATAGCATACTTAGCAAATATACCAATATACTTTTTGGGACAGTAAAAATGATTCATTTTCTATTTTTGCAAACTTTCTGGAAGGAAAGCGAATCTAGTTAGTATATAAGGGTGAGGGGAAAGGAGAAGTAAATAATTGTAAGAAAAAAATGTATAATCATTGGTCAAATTTTGACAAAATTCTTAAAAATCACAAAAATAATTTTTTTTAAAAGATGTCTTCAATTGGTTCGGAGTTCAAATTGTTGCTTTTTTTAACTTTATTTTGTCCTATAGTGCCCCTTTTATTTTACTATTTTGAGTACTGCCGATGATATAAAAATTGGATTTTGTTTTAGGTACAATTTATAGATGGATAGAGAGGAAGCCACTAACAGAGGCAGTTACATGGACATCTAGAGAAAAATTTTGGTTAATTACAGCTGCATGTCACTATGGAACTCATGATTGGTAAATATAGATTTATGTAAATAGTTACAATAGAAATTAAAAAGTAAAAAATAATAGCTATTTATTAAATTCCATACAGTTGTATTAATAGGTAATATTGTTTCTAGGAAATCAGTTGCTCAAGTTGTTAGAAATGCGGGAGAACCATATAGACCTCGAGAATGGTATACACCAAAAAGCTGTGAGCGCCAGTTTAAAATTCTTGTATCTAATCTTAGCAAGGAAGTAAAATCATTGCCCCTCATTGATATGCTGCAACATATTGCTGAAGGTTTAAAAAATGGTAAATAAATACATAATAATATAATATAATTATACTTCATTAAAAATTGAATAGAAGCGTAAAGAAATATCTTTAAAATGAATTTGTTTTATTGAACATAGATTACATCCGAGATGCTAATAAATCAAAAGATACCCTAAAATCGAAGTACTGTAATTTATTCAGTGTTTTGAATCGTGTGAAACAAGGCAATCTGTCTAGAAATGAAGTTGTTAGCCTTTATTCACAAGCAAGAAGGTTAAAATTGTTTGTTTCATAGTAAACAGTTGGTATATTATCGATTTAATTTCTATGTGTATATATTTTGTTTTGCAGAAATGAAATTGAAGGTAAACAATATATGGATCAACTTATGACTAGGCAAAATGCTAGCTTAGCTTCTGAAAATTCAAGTTCTGGGTTAATAGAAGAGGTAAAAAAATACATACATTTAATTATTCAATTATTTATGAATTGGTCGATTACAAAAAGTATGGCTTTTGGGAAATAAAAAAAAAAACCAGCACTTAGCATTCATATATATATAAACTAAATATTTTGATTGTCATAAGCAGGGCTTGTAAGTTCATACATCAGCATGTTTTTTTTGCTACACAATAAAACATAATAACTGAGATACAAATCAGTTTCATAACAATAGTAATAATAATATGAAATTTGATAGTTCATGTTTTTGCATGTTTTGTGTAACAAAGCATATTTGGTAAAATATAGTCGTTAGTGCTTATTATTTCATAAAAATATTTTTTTTACAAATATTTGAAAAGTTTCTTGTTTCTTATTTACTTTCCCGTTTACAAAATTATAGTGTTTTGATTTATTTTTATTCAGTGAGTGTGTGACTACCTAGTGTCCTAGCACATACCTATTTAGATTTTATGCGTTTCACGAAATACCACGGAAACAATGTAATCGTTACCACTACCATCCTCCACTTTACAAAGTGATGGCTTTACACCAACCCGCATTTATAATTTTGTACATTGGTACAGTATAGTTTTCTTGCACTCGGCGTTGAGTTTACTTGTATGCGTTCGTCCATTCAATTTCCTGTTTTCATGTGAGGTATAGGTACCGTACACACATTTATGCCGAAAGAAAAACAAACAGTTGCGGGCCGTTAGTAAAATTTTGTGGCGGAATTTTTTTAAATTTATGGATTTATTCTTATTATTTTAAAATTTGCTCATGACTTTTTTACATAATGCATATTTTGAGTGTATAATTTAAAAATGTTCGAACATATAAATGTATATTTTCAAACTTTTTAGTGCATGAAGTTACAAGCCTTGGTCATAAGTAAAGACCGGATGTATATTCTCTCAAAACACCTAAAATACGATGATAAATTCTCTAAAAAACTTTCAAATAGTTTCATTATATTTTCTTGGAAAATTTAAAATATGTGCAAAAATAATCGATAAACAATAATAATATTCCAAATAATATGCTTTAATATGCATTAAAAAAATTTTTTTTTCAACATTCCTTTAATTAATTAGTGAGGTATACTTGCGTTTTTAAAATTAATTGGTTTTTTTATTTTATTCTTTTAAAAAACTTCTGTTATCAATATTATAGTATATAATATATAGAAGATTGATAACATCAATTTGTAAACATTGCCCAACCATATAGGTTAGGATATAGGACGATTGGCTTCGAGTATGGTCTCCGAGTCTATCATCTAGTATTAAAGTATATATTTGTGTTGGTAACAGGCTTGTTTGGTATGAAATGTTGTTGTTTATTATCATATTATCTTTCTAACATTGTCTAAGTTGTACATGGCTACCAGTGTCAATGATAAGAAAAAGTCGGCTATTTAGTTATTATATATATATCTGTGGTTAGCCACTATGTTTAAGTGAACAGCACTGTAACTTATGATAAATGTTATAACTAGAGACAGGATTTTTATGTTTTTACATATCTTTACTGAGAGTATGCAGCTCCAATTGGATAAGCTTTCTCGACGATTCATTAACCTATTAACTGATTAACATTTTTTAGCGCTTAAAAAAGAATATTTTAAGGTTATAGAATATTTTGTGTTAAAAACATGTTTTAGGAATATATTGCCTTATTGAGTTCAAATTTGAATATTTTATAAAAATCTAATAGATAATAAAAAAATTTTTATTTTTATTATTTAAAACTTGCTATTATTATAATTTTTTGAGTTTATAATGCTAAATTATTTAAGTTTGAGTTATTTTAATAAATAATATTCTTCTGTTGTTGAACTATATGCAATCATTATTTTATTTTTAATATTATTATTTTTTGAATTCATAAGGCTAAATTATTTAAGTATGCGTTTGAATACATAATATTATTCTGTTAATGAACTATATGCAATTATTTTTTATTTTTTATTTTAGTATTATTATTTTTTGAATTCATAAGTGTATGTTACAACAGTTAAGTATATCCTATAGGTACACAAGTATGGCAGTATATCACCATATTATAGATTAAATATAACAGTTATTTTTTATAAAATGTTACTTTTATTTGTTTTTTCAGTATTAAATACATTTTTCTGAAAAAGAATATTTTTTCATAAAAGAATATTAATTTTGCATATAGAAGATTATTTTGATGAAATTATAGAGCATAAAAGCATCTTATTTTCAAGATTTTAAGTGCATATAAATCCGGTCTCTAGTTATAACACTCCATGTTTTCATTTTATCAAAATAATACAAAAAAAAAATTCTTGGTACCATAGTATTAAAATTAATAAATTTATATTTTTTTCTCACAATTTACAAAATAGTCCAAAATATGCTAAACAAGCTAAATATTCTTTTTTTTTTATTTTAGAAAATGTATTAATAAAATACAATGAGTAAATGTGATATATGTGCAACAAAACAATATAATAATATAATAACAGAATGGCAGGATAAGGGAGGGAATCCAATGATAGAACCCTTCAAATATTCCTTAACCCTAACGATTCATTTACATTTTTTTCTCATTAGACTGCATAAATTCAGTAACAATATGAAAAAACATATTAAAAAAAAATTGGTTTATTATATTCAAAATCATTTATGTCAATGTTACAGCAGCCAATTAAGTGGAATACGCCATCTGCACCACTATTAACGAGTCTTCTAAGATCTCGTAATACTATACCAGCTAATAGAACTGCCACTACGATTGCTTCTTTATTACAATCTCCTGGTGGCACATCAAGGACTAGATCAGGAAAATTATTACCATTAACCCCTGTCATTCGAACTACACAAGGTAAATTTGGATTAACCCTTTATTTTATGGACAACAATATCTTTTATATATTTTTAGGAACTCCTACACTTTCTAAACTCCTCGAAGCTCCAGCAAATCCTTATATATCAAGTCCACCACAATCAACACAGAAGAATAAGTTAAGTAAGTGTAAAAATGTATACAGTGTGTTATGTGTATTTAAAAGTTAAAATACAATAAATACATTTTGGCTCAGTTATTAATAATATATAGTTACAAATAGTTTTAATGGATTGATACTTAAATTCTTTTTTTGTCTTTAGGTGAAGTTGGAACAGAAAAGCTTGTGAATACTTCTAAAAAAGTGAGTTAAAAATTATGTAATCTATAATAATATCAAACTAGTGTACTTTGTTTTAATATTTGCTTCATAAAATCATTTCTATGTCTGACTGTCATTTTAAAGTTCTATAGGTATGAAATCTGATTACATCATATTATTTTTCAATATATTACAAATAGATATCAATTTTTTAAATTAAATATAACTCATAAAAATTCATTATAATTTTGACTATTACGCAAGATATTTAAATAAATAAATAAATTATACTCTAATCCAATGGTCATATTGTAATATTATCAATATATTTTAGTTGTTCAATATTATATTCAAGTATAAAATTAATATATTATAATATTTATTAATTATAAAGTTATAATATTATATTAGTTTTAACGAATAAATCGTAAAGAATTTGTACAATGCAATAATAATTTAAAAGCATTTAATTTAAAACTTATATGTTGATAAAGGTTAACTATATATTTTTGTATGTGGAGTTTCTATTTTTTTTAAATACAAAATACATTTGAAGGTGTTGAGAGCGGGTCCTTTTAAATGGGTTGAATATGGTCAATATTTTAATGCACATGCTAGAGTGCTGTAGTGTAAGTATGTAGTAAATAATCATTAGTCTTCTTGACCTCCACAAACCATTATTTTAGTGATATAGATTATTGATCATTAAGATTGAGAAACTTAATAATGTTGTATCCCATGTATGCGCACGCATAAGGTCACTTGTCAAAATATGCGTGTTTGAATAATAATATGTTCATACTCTGAAACGCCTGGAAGGTAATAAAAGTGGAAGAAAAGTCAGTAGTATTGATCATCAAACTGTAATTTTAAAGTATTCTTAATTTTCTATTCTAGATTTTGTAGAAAATATCTTATATTTTATTTTATTTATTTATTATCTTGTTTTTGATGAGGCCTTTTTTTAAAAAAAAAAACTTATTTTAGTGCAGCACGTATTTTAATTACGTTTTAGACCAATAAGCAACAGTGGTAAATTATAATATACACTCTTAAAATATCTAGAAGTGATTTTCAATTTTCAATTACCTTAAAATTAAGATGATATGTAATTTAGAAATACTTAGACAAATTGTATTACATTTTTATTTATTTGGGCATGTCAGCTTTTAATCGAACAAGTGATTTTTAAATAGCCCAATCTAGAAACTAGTAACTTCAATATTTTTTATTCTAAATTACAATCAAACTTCAGGAAGTATATTTAATTTGCTATCACGTTAAGTAGTTCATAGTTATGCAAACAGAAAAATATTTCATTTTAAGCTATGTTTTGACATGTGCGTGTGCATTGGAGAATTTAAATTGATACACTAATGATAATTTACTACTCACATATTGACACAGCCTAAGTGTATACTTAATATAAATTGCCTATATATTAGTCCATAAAACAAGCTCAAGCCCCTTTAAATCAACCAAAACATCTTGATTTTGCATTCCTACATAACAAAAATATAAGCTTACCAAATTCAATTATTTTTACATTTAAATTTTCTTTCAAATTTTATATGGAAGAAATGCATGAAATATTAAACCGCTTTCAATTACCTTAATATTCTTATTTAATTCAATACAGTTTAAAATTAATATATTGTGAATATTTTTATAGGAGAACTCGCAGTCAACATCATTAAATAGAGTACGAGTAGACAATATAACAACCCTTGGGTCTTTTAATCAAATCAATAAATCTGATTTATCTGCTTCGAAGAAACAGATATCCAAGACCCCGGTTTCAGCAGTTAAAAATGGATCAAAAGCAAATTCAAGTGTTGTTAATTTATTAAGTGATAGTGAAACTGAAGAAGATACTAAAAATACCACTATTAAAAGTTCGTTTGGAGATAAAAAATACACTAGTTGTAGACTAGAACCTAGAGCAACAAGAAGTCAAACTCGAGCAGAAGGCGGTGTTAAACAATTGAATGATACTAAACTGTCTGATGGAAAGAAAGAATGTGAAAGCTTGCGACAACAAAGTGGGGAATCTCAAATTAACGAAACTCATTTAATTGACGATGATCTGCTTGATATAGACCAAATTGAAGTTGAACCATTATCATCCGTTCAAGATGAAATACAAATTCAAACTCCTCCTAAAATGACACGGTCTTCCTTGCAAAGACTTCGTCTATCAAATGCAGGAGATAATTTATTGACAAATAATAAAGTTAATAGTAAAGAAACAAGTAATAAAAAGGTAGAGAAAGTAACTATACATCCTGATTATAATTGCTTGTTGGGCAAAACCAAAGATGAAGTTTCTGTTGAAACGAATGCTTTTCAAGATGCTATTACGTTACGCCACGATAGTTCGCAAAATACATTGACAACACACGATGGTAAACCATTGAAACAACACGGAGTAATTGAAATAAAAGGATCAAGTATAAGGTGTATTGATAGTAGAAAAGATTCAAAATTTGTGTCACTTACCAACCACCCTATGGTAGTAGTTAACAAAATCAAGAAACCATTTAACATGAAGCAGATAAATAAAACTAATGATATTCAAATCTCAAACACCGATGTTAATAAACCTATTAGATTGAATAATAGTTCCCTTAATGTGGTTAAGTTAATTGATAGTAGTTGTTCATTGCCTGCTGATGATGTTATTATATGATGATGATATAAATATTAACGAAAGATAATAGGACAACAATGAAAGCGAAGGAGTTATTAAGTAAAGTTGAATCAAAAACCTTTTCTTCTACTGTTTCAAGTAATTCAAAATCAACAACACTTCAATTGGATGAACAAATAAATAAAAATGATAAAACACCATGGAATATGTTTGGAAAAGCCCAAAATATTTTAGATACTACAAAAAAACAGTGTCTTCAAGATAGTGTAACGAAAAGTAGAACAAATAGTAACATAAATGAGTCCAACAACCAATTCATTAAAGAACTAGATTTTGATTTTGATCAATCGATCTCTCAAACATCTTTGTCTGAATTATATAATGGCGTTGAAGAAATTGTCGAAATGCACTCTTTTGATAATGAAGAATTAAATTCTTTGATTGAATGTGGTTCGTTAGATAGTAATGAAACAGAGGAACGTATAGATACAGCTGGTGTGGATCAAGGTGATTCTTCTGTAAGTGAAAGTGATTCAACTATTGGAGCTTTTGATACCTTTGCTCAGATAACTAGAGTAGGACAAAAGTCATTTACTGCAAAAGACATTAAAGATACTACAGAATCAAAGACTACAAACCAAGGAGTAAATCATTTGAAAGTGAGTTTTTGTTCGTCCGAGGAAATTTTTGACGATCAAAGCTCTACAGCATCAGTCACTGGAATACCTGTTTTACAGGGTGTGATATCAGATGTTATGAGCCAAATTGATTTAGATTGTGTTGCATCTCATAAAACAATCACCCCACCTAAAGTACCTATTACTGATGTTGTTGAAATAAGCAGTGATGAGGAAGTGACTGTGGATGTTCCAAAATCACATTCCTTAAGTGTCAAGCAAATTCAAACACAAGAAAAAGAAGTGAAATCCTATAATTTAAAGGAAGATGAATTGATAGAAATACATGAATTAGAAGCTAAAATGTACAAAGGAGTTACTATAAAACGAGCAACAAGTACCTGTAAACCAATTAATATTGAAATGCCACCGTGCATCATTGTTACAAATATTACATCTGATGCCGATAGAATAGCATGTAACAAAATATTAGAAATTAAAAAAGATACTGCTCAGAAATACCAGGATATTGAAATGATGAAGCTTGTCTCAAATGCTGGTAGTAAAAGGGATGAAAATGAATTGAATGAGATTTATACACACAAAATAACAGTTAAAAGTGCCAATGAAAAATTACTAAAAGAAACGGAAAAAATGAAAAAAGAAGCTAAAGAAATCGAAGAAAGAAGAAAAAAAGAAGCTGAAAGAAAGAATAAAGAAGATGAAAGAATGAAACAAGAAGATAAAGAAAGAAAGAAAAAAGAAGATGATGAAAGAAAGAAAAAAATAGAAGACGAAAGGAAGAAAATAGAATTAGATAGAAAGAAAAGAGAGCTTGAAAAGAAACTGCTAAATGATTTATACGAAAGAAAGAAAAAAGAAGAGGAAGAAAGAAAGATCAGAGAAGAGAATGAAAAAAAGAAAAAAGAAGAAAATGAAAGACAGATAAAAGAATTACAAGAAAAAAATAAAATAGATGAAGAAAAAAGGGAAAAGGAAAAAATAGCACTGGCCAATAAGTAAAAGAATATCATGATATGCTTAGTAATGATTTGACAATTAATGAAAATAATCGATTAGCTAAGAGAGTAGTAGTTAAAGAAGAAATTGTTGATGAGAGTGTTGATGAAATTTTAGAAGAAATAATTGATGAAGATATTTGTATAAAAACTGAATATAGCGAATGTGATGAATTTAACGAATATAATCCATACAATCAATTTAATGAATAATACTGAATACAATGAATACAATGAAAATAATGAAAACAATAAAAACAATGAATACATTGAAAACAATGAATATATTAAAATCAACGAATACATTGAAAACAATGAATACATTGAAAACAATAAAAACATTGAAAACAATAAAAACATTGAAAACAATAAAACAATTGAAACAATGAATACAGTTGAAACAATGAATACATTGAAACAATGAATACATTGAAAACAATGAATACATTGAAACAATGAATACATTGAAAACACTGAATATATTGAAAATAATGAATATATTGAAAACAATGAATACACTGAAAACAATGAATACATTGAAAACAATGAAAACAAATCATATTATAATGAATATATTAATAATAAATACATTAATGAATATAACTATGAATGTAACAATGAATATACCAATGACTATTATTATGAAAATCATAAAGAGTATTATAATTATGAATGTAATAATGGATATAACGAATATAATGAATATAATAATGAATATGATGGATATAATGATGAAATTGTTGAAAGAATAAGAATGTCAAATGTTAATCCTGAGGAAAAAAGTATGGAATATATTTCAATTAGTAGTTCAGAATTGAGTCAAATAAGAGATTTTGAATTAAAATCGGTAGAAAAATCCCATAAAAGCCGAATCAAAAGTAAAAGATTTAAAAGAATTGAAGACTTGAGAAGAAAGAGACAAGTACGGAGAGGACATATCGGGCTCCACAGACAATCTATTGAGCTAAAATCCAAAAAAGCTGAAGAAGCTGAAAAACAAAGAGCTGTGGAAGTTGAAATTCAAAGATCTAAGGAAGCTAAAAAACAAAGAGTTGTGGAAGTTGAAATTCAAAGATCTAAGGAAGCTGATGAAATTATATCTAGAAAAGTTAAAAAAGCAGAAATAAAAAAAGTCAAAGATGTTGAATTAGAAAGATTCAAAAACGATAAGATAAAAAAAGCTAAAGAAGTTGAAACAAAAAAACATAAGGAAGCCGAATTAAGAAAAAATATTGCTGTTGAAGAAACACAAATAAAATCATTAGATAAGAGATCTACTTTGAAGAAAGTGAATGAACCAGGAAATAATCGATCATTTGGACAACCCGAGGTCAATTTGGTAAAGAATAATGTAGTTCGTCCTGTACATTTTAAGAGAATCAATGAGCATGTAGAAAATGATATAAATATGATTACAAATGATGATTTTGAAACATTTAATATAAGAGAACAAGGAATAAGGAAGTGTATGGGATCTGAAGGAAAAACCTCTAAAGAAATAGAAACAAATTCAACTAAAGTTAAGATGATCACTAGGACAAGGGGACTAAAGGTTGAAGAAAAGCTTAAAGAATCATATGTTTCTAAAAATGTGCCTACTAAACGACCACAAATAAAATCTTCCGGATCCTCATCATCTAGTGCAAGTCCAACTAGTATCGAGAATCCATCAATTCCTAGTTATGAATATAAGAAACAAACCATAAATACAGATGATAATAGTAAACGGAATATCACTTCCAACAAATTACATGATAAAAAGAACAAAAGAGATTTAAACATTGACCCTAGTGTCATTATTAGAAAAGAAAATTTGAATCGTGAAGTTATTGGTATTCCAAGAACTCGTACTCGTTCATCATCGTTTAAGCAAAAAATTAAGTCGGAAACTACATCTTCAAAGCAAGACCAAGATAATGATACAGAAATAATTCCAAAAGAAACTGTAGGAACAAAGACTATCGTGTCAACTTCTACATACCCTGATCATCAGACCACAAAATCAAAAAGTCCCCCAAAAACTATTTTTGATAAGCATACGCTTAATGATAATAACTGTGGTAAAACATTGTTAATCCCTGTAGTAATGTTATCTACAAATCAAATTCCACTTCACAAAGTACATCAACGATCAGTTAACAACTTTATAAAGCAACAAGAAATTAAACCGTAAGCAAATTTCCCTTAATTATACTATAGATGTTAAAGTTAATTTCATATTGACATTTTTGTTTTATAGAACACATGACCAAATTCAAAAGCAAACTGTAACTACAACTCAATTAGATAAGCCGCTTCCTAAGAAACGAGGTCGCAAGCGTCGGATTGACCTTCCAACTGAAAAACAAGAGTCTAATAGGTATGAAACTTAAATATAATTTTAAAATTATGGTATATTATGAATTATGAATTGTTTTTATAATGGAATCAATAATTTATTATTTGTTGAATTCTTATTAAATTTGTACTTCTTATTTTGATAAACAAAATCATAACAATGTTTTATTTTTCATTCATTAATAATATTAATTTTAAATTAATTTTAAAATTTTAAATCCTTATTTATACATTTTATAAATCTTTCTTCTGTATAGCTGAATACATCTGCCTGTATGTAGTCTTATTTTTAATCAAGTCGACATGTATTTATTGGACCATCATAAAGTTTTCTTCGTTGACATATATATATATATATTAAAACAATTTTTTTTTTTTTTTATTGATCTTTTAAAGCCCGGCGACTATGGCCATTAGCTAATTGTGGGGTTTTATGATTTGTAGGTAGTAGGGTTTGTATTGGTAGGGTTTTTACACGTGTGTGTTGTGTTTGGTAGAATTTTTGATTGGGCACCCGTAGGTATCTGCAATGCCTGGGTGGGGGATGGCGGCACTTGTTCTCCAGACACCGTGACTTGTCCGGAGAAAAATGCCGCCCAGTGGTCGAGAATCGAATTGAATTAAAACAATTGTGGTTCTATTGCATTATAAATGTATACATTTTTGTTTTACATTCAGATTGTAACTATAGTTAATAGTATAATATGGTTTTTACATATATAAATGCGGAATGTTGATAGTTATGAATTCTAGCTATAAAAAACAACTAATACAATTGATAACAAATATTAATTAATAAAAGTAAAACTAGTTTCTAAAAAAATATCAATGAAACTATTTATAATTCTTAACCCCTTGACGCTTATATAGCTACATTTATGTTTACTTCTAATATTTTGCAATAAGTTGTACATTTTTTTAAATTTGAATTTGCTTTGTGTTAATTTCAGTAGAAATAGAACATCTCAAAATGCGGCAAAATGTAATACATCAATAAAAGTATGTTACCTATTTAACATTTTAAAATTTATTTATATTTGTTCAAATTATTGTATTAATTTGTAATATGGTTTTCTATAGGAGGTAGAACCTCCAGCTAAAAGAACCAGAAGGAGTCTTGGTCTACGTGGTCGTAAAAAGGAAGCCATGAACAAGTAAGATGCAATTTTATGTTAATTTTTGATTAAATATTTTATAAACTTCATTCTCAAGTTCTTGGTTCAAAATTATAAATATTATGTCATTTGCAGTTATGCTCAGCCACGTTCAACCACAGTCGAGCCACGTCAATCTAAAAAACAATGTGTGGAGAAGTAAGATAAATTTTTATGTTAATTTTAATTAATTATAATTTTATTTCCCTTTGAGAGAATGTTGTACTCGCTTGTAGATCTATTGGGTGTAAACCTGCCCTGGTAGTCACCTAGTATACTCTCTGGTATGGGTCCTACACTGTCTAGTATACAATATGCAAAGACTTTATAAATTTTATCTATAATATGTATAGTTAGTTTATATATTTGTTTATAATATTGGTTTCTAAACACTTTTAACCAGTTGACCTGCCGTGAGTACCCTATCTGGTACTCACATGGTTTGTCTCCTGCGCCACGGTATTTTTATAGAGCTATCCTCATACGCCATGGGTACCAATTGTTGTATGTGTACCCTAATTAAGAATAATAATAATAATAGACATTTTAATATTCATAATAATAGGTTAATGAAGCAAATGAGCTGAGGCAGCTTTATATTGTAATATAATATAAAAAGACGCAAGCACCACGGTAACGGGGCAGTGCGGGTTTCCTGGTGAGACACGTATGTGTATGTAGACTCGTATTTTGATGTGTTTGTTTCTACATACAAAAAGTAATTTTAATAGCTGTGGATTTTGATCGATTATTTTGTGTACCATCGAGTGATAGGTATACGACAGTGGCGCCCAACGTGGGGCTTGAACCCACAACCCCGAGATTAAAAGTCTCGTGCTCTACCGACTGAGCTAGCTGGGTACTCACATGCCATTTGACACTTGATAACCGTTTGATCTTGGTAACTACTAGTTTTTTTTCGTGATTTCGTCACTGAGTACCAATATTGGTACTCAATAATCCAGAAAACATAAAACCCTACGAGCCAAACCAAGTGAGTACCATATTTGCTACTCATTGCGTATGAGGATAGCTCTATAAAAATACCTTGGCAGTCGTCAACTTGTTAAACCTTGTTAAGAATTATATCTTAAAATTTATATTGCTAATTTTTTTTGAATGGATTAATGAAATATGTGTTAGTCACTGAGACTTATTAAGTGCTAATTAATTATTATTGGAAGTATGAATATAATATTTTTTAAATAATGTTCCATATAATCAAAGAACCGTCATATTTGTTTGTCAAATTTTCCTTAGAGTGTGTCTATTAAAGGGTAGTCATCAATTATCATAAAATATTTTATTGTTTTTATGCATATCTGAAAATAGTTTTCTAAATAAATGATATTAAAATATCTTAATTTTTTTTATTGATTTTGAAAATTATGTTTTAATTATATAACTGCATGAATAATTATCTATTTAATAACTTCTATATAAATTATGAAATTATTTAACATGTTAATAACAGTTTTAAAATGTTTCCCATATAAAGATATAAACATATAAAATGGTATTTCAAATTATGTGAAAGTCTTTATTATATTTTTATAATACATATAATACATATGTTATGTAGAAGTTAATACAGTAGGTATTATATAACTTTTAATTCACTGCGGGTGATTAACAAACATTAACAAACACATTTCAAGTACTATGAAATTACTATATATTATTACTGTAAGCACAACTAAATTACTTGGTACAAAACATCATAGTTCACTGACACTACCAGGTCTGTGTGGCATTGTGACCACAACAAATTGACAATAGTAACAGTATGACAATAATACTGATATAATAATAATATAATATATTGAGAGAAGTCTGATAATAATACATAATAATATAGTCCCATATATATATATATATATATATACTAATATATTATACAAATATGTTTGATTACTATCAATTCGATTTTTTTAGGTCTAATGAAAATAATGAAACATGCAAGAGGCTTATGAAATTTGTGTTTAACAATTTATGTGAAAAAAGCAAATATATTTCAACTCTGAACAAGGAAGTTACGGATACACCATATGCTGATGTTATAAAATGGTAAGCATATTTAAAATCCTAGTTAAAAGTCATACAATTTATGAAAGTAATTCATTTTAATTATTATTTATTAGTTTAAAGTTCAAAGTAATGATTAATATTTGTATCATCAAATAAATTCATTTAAGATGTATTAATACTGACCCTGTTTAAGGAGCTTATTATAGGCAATATTCTGTGTGCTTGCTTGTGAGTTTCCTGCGTTCACTTACTGTCAATAAGTTATTGACAGTAACATTGCGTTTAACACACTAATTACAAATGTGAATTTTAGTGAAACACTGAAACTTAGTTTCGTATTTTTCCAATAATATAGCTTATTGAGTGACATATAGTATGAACACATATTATACAAATTGATGAGCAGAAGTTTATTTATGCCTGTATATGAGTATTATATATTACTATTTCGATTTTAATTATTGATATTAGTAATTAAAATATTGAAAAGACTTTTATATAGACACAGATTAACTTCTCTTCCACAATATTGTTAATGGGGGTTTTACTCTCAAACTGCTCAAAAAACCATATTATTGAAAATACAAAAATTCATTTTCATAGGATTTTTATTGATATCCTTAAGAGGTATCTCTGTCTTACAAGTGCATAACATAGTTCGCTTTTATCTCTGTAACTTTAAAAATTAGAGTGAATTGACTTGACCTCTTATAAAATGTAAGTGTAAAATTATTATCTTGGGCATCTCACAGCTATTTGTTATATTTTAATTTCAAAGCAAGTTATGAGTATTTAAGATTTTAAAATGTACAAACAATTTTAAAGTACTCATAACTTGCTTTGAAATTAATAGATAATAAAAAGCTTGTAAAAGAAAAATGATTATAATCTTACCTTTAAATTTTTTTTTCATCCGTAAAAGTTGGTATGTTAGACACTTGTAAGATGGAAACAACAAATGTCTGTGTAACGATCTCTTAATCAAGGTTTTTTCCACTATTAGAGTTTTCTCTGTATTATATTTTTACAGGATTTAACATTCTGATTGAAGCAAGTCCATTGTAAAATGTAGTAATATAAAATATAATTTAAAATTAAGTTTGAAATTAATACTACATAATATATATTGTTGCATTTGTACCTGCTATAATTATTTTTTCATTTTATAACATATTTTTAATCTACTTATTTCAATTATAATTTAATTGTTTTTAAATTAACTTTGTGTTTCATTTATATTATTCCTATAAATTCCTTTCAAGGATTAACATTTATTATTTTATTTTACTTATGTTTATGACATTCTATTTATTGAAAAATTGTTTATTTTACAGTCCAATTGAAGCACGAGGTATTAAAAGGAAGATTGCTACAGGAGAAATTGGAAACCTCGCAGAACTTCAAGTTAATCTTTTGCTCTTAGCATTTAATGCTCAAATGATCAATAGGACCGACTCTATAGTTTTTAATGATGCTACTCATTTTCAAACTGATCTTCACGACAATTGTCTGGTAAAACACTTTGTCCCTTAAATATTGTATTTAACATTTTATATTTATATTTTATTTGTTTGTAGGAACTTAAAGATGCTGTTGGTAAACATTATGCTAGCAATGAAGATGGTACAGTGATAAAACCCGACAATAGTATTAAAGTGGAATTTCCTGAATATAGTAGTAAAATTGTAAATATTAACAATGAAACAATCGATGATATACTACTTAAATATACTGATCTGACTAGTGATGAGTCCACTGATTCCGATGATAGTGATACGCCACCACCTAAAAAGAAAAGAAAAAAAAACCTTTCTGATTCTTCCAATTCAGAAAGTGATTAAGATAATTAAAAAAATTATCACATGCCCTTTTTATAATATATATATATATTGTTCTATTAATATCTAAAATTCATATTCATTGTTTTCGTTAAAAATGATTATTTTTAAAGCCATTTTTTTTTAAAATAAAAATATATACCATCTAGTTTTATAAATTATATAGCATCTAGTTTTATTTTTATTTGCTCAATTCTAAATTATTTTCACATGAACATGCAATTTAATCTTTTTATTCTACACTCATTAAACCCGTAGCATTTTTTTCTGTTGTATCATGATAGAACTCTCAGTGTGCTCTTGTTAATTTTATGATTAGAAGCAGTAGTAAACCGTTCTAATAAAAAATGTTAACTAAATAAGCTAATTTTCAATGTTGAAATATATTCCTATGAACCAAAGTATAAATAATGACACAACCATGGATGTGTTATACTTATTAAAACTCGTTTTATCTACCAAGAGATTCATACCAAGATAATAATTATGTAACACTAATAATATTTCAGATTTTCGGTGTAATAGCTATTTGATTATATTTGAAAACTTTAAAAATTGTTTATACAAATAAAATAAGAATCAGCACCTATAGCGTAAATAGTTAAATCCATTTTTTTTTTTATTCTTAAACATGTTTTTCGGGTTAAAGTAATTGAAATTGTATGATTTTTACATATTTGATTTGAATGTTTTCACTGTTATGATTTTGTTTATATTTTCCTTGATAATTTGATTTGTATAATAATAGTTTTTTGAAGAATCCAGTAACAGTTTTATTTTTATAGACAGTTAATTATTTTATTTATAATGACTCGTGTGAAAACATATTTTGAAGTTGCCACAAAAATCAAGATTCATTTTTGTCAGGGATATTTCTCTTGTATTAAATTATAATTTATATGTACAATATTGTAGGCATATTGTGATGGATGTTTATTTAAGAGAAATATTATATAGGGATACAAGGTAATAGAGTGTAAGGTAGTAGTAACTCCGTTAATTTAAAATGTATAATGTAATCATAATATTCAAAGAAATCATATTCTTAAATGTTACTGTAAATATTCAAATACCAATGGCTTGTATTGCTATGTAACAATCTATTTAATAATAGCTTTTTTTTTATTTATTAGACAACCTAGTCTATATCAATTATTTAAGATACAGTATTGTATTAATATTTTTTATAATGCAATAAAATATTTATAGTAGCTATGTATTTACATTTTTATCTATCCTTAGATTGATAAATATACTTAGTTCGAAGATATAATTTATTTCCTTTTACGTTTCAATTTTTATTTTAACCCTAGATTACTAACCTTATTTATCCGTCTTTATTTCTAACCATTTATCAATATGATGAATACTATAAATATTATAAACAATTAACATTTTTGTAATTGGTTCAATTAAATAAATCAAAAATATAATTAACAAAAACACAATAATTAAACTTTTGGACAACTTTATTGTTAATAATATTAGTAAAAGAACCTTTTTTAAAACATTATCAGGCTAGATATGGAACATAATTAATGAGAGATACAAGAGGGGGGGGGGGGTTAATGGTATTAGATAAAATGCCAAAAAATAGCAATAATAAAATTATCAATGTTCGTCACATTGATGTATGGTTAGCAATCTAGGGTTAGACAAGAAACATTATTTTAAATAATAAGTTTTATTATTAACATCAATATGAAATAATGTAAGTATACATACCTTTAACTTGCCAAAAGAAAAGTAACAACAAAGTATAGTTGTAAAATTATGAGAGTAGATGACAAAATAAATAAGAATAATATTTATTTTAATAAATCATTTATTACTTAATATTAATTTTTTCATTTTATTTTACAATCACATTTTTAAAATAATGAATTATACTTGTTTTTTAAAATTAAATTAATATTAAAAGTAAATATTTACAAAAGTATTCATTTGTGATAGAAGCACATTTATAAATTAGAATTTTATTTTTTCTTTTAATTGTTCCAAACTGTTTTTTCCATTATACCTCAGAAAATTTTTTAGAAAAGTAAATTAATTTTTTTATAATATTTGAACATGAATTATTATTTTTATTGAATAAAATGTATGTTAAAGTATATTTTTATGAGTACCTAGTTACAAGTGTCATCATGTTGGGAAAAATAAGTTAAAAATGAATTGAATTGATAAATATTAATGTATTAACTATAACTATGAGTGTATACATTTTTATTTCATTACTCACTTGTAGTCGAAAAGTTGCAACTCTAATTGAAGAGAGAGTTTTTACTTTTTAGAGTTAAGTACACATTTTTTAAAATAAATACAAGTTTATATTTTGTAGGTACTTAAAGTACTGTTTAATAAACAATTTTAAGCTATAATTTTTAGCAGTCAGCAATTTGGTCAGTGGTGTAACCAGGGAGCTTAGGCATAGAACCCCTTTGGACTCTGAGCATATTTTAAGTAATTTTTCTTTAGTATATAAATATAATACTAAATACGAAACATTGGTAAAAGAAAATTTATTAACTGATTTTAATATACATTAGACTTAACATAGTAAACATACATACTATATACTTTATATTTAAATATTTAGCTTAATAGAAGTGTTGTAAAATTATTTTATATTCTTGCAAACTTTTTCAAAATTTAAATTATATGAAACTGTTCTAGAATTTAGAAACTGTTTAAAACTAGCTGAAATCTTTAAGGGTTGATCTGGTGCGTTTTTAGATAAATTACGAGCTTGTAAGAGGATTAGTTTTTTAGGAAATTGTGATAATAAAATGTAAATATGCTGGCAATTTTTTTTTTGTTGATTTTAATATCACAAAGTCGACAAATGATCTTACGGTGTGACAGTGTCAAATCTTGATGTTCTCATGACGACATGACCTGTGTCAGATCTAGGAAATTTGTCGCCCGGGGCTAATAAAAATGCAGTGCCCTAATATAGGTGGTGTGCTGGGTTTCAACTTTCAACACAAAACAAAATGTTTAAATACAAATCAAAAAGTATATTTTTATTGAAACCCTTGTTTTCATATATATTGTATAGTACAGAATATGTCTATAGTCAATACCATACTATAATATTGAACCAATTAAATGCATATTTGAAAGTATTTGAAAGAATTCTTTAATAAAAATTATATTAACATAATTTTCCCTTACAAGATTTTTTGAATTATATAATAACTTACTTTACTATATACAACTAAAAAGTAAATTGACAATAAAACTACAACAAATGAATTAATATTGGTGACATTGTCAAGTTTTAATGATTATTATTTTCTGGATAGTAATTATAATAAAATAAACCAAATGTTTTTTTGTACTAGGTAATGAGATTTCGGTAATTGTTTATGGTTTTTAGTCAAAGCTCAATGTTTTCTCGATTATTATCTGAGCATTTCAAAAATATGTATTTAATATCAACTCAAAAGTTCATAACAAAATGTTTTAAATATCCTAACCCTGAATTTATTAAATTTAAATAAAAATATATAAATTTAATTTGACAGGTATAAAAATCATTAGTGGAAAGAGGATGAATGCCAGTCATGGACAAAAACTGGTCATACAGGTAATCTCAAAGACTATAATATTGATAAATATCCGTTTTATCGCGCAGCTGATTTCTTATTATAGACCAGTCAATAGGGGGTTTCGCCTTGCAAAAAATACTAAAGTTTTGAAACTTGGCGAAAAAAGTTTCGTCTTGGAGCCCTGATGACTAAAAAAAATGCGCCATCCCTCCGAGGTCCGCAACCGTCCACCAATTTAGATGAAATTTTTCACATTTTTACGGTTATTTTTACAATAACTACAATAAAAATAGTTTACAAGAAATTGAAGGTAGTAAAATTTGTGACAAGAAAGGTTCTATATATTTTTAGCGTAAGAGTAATAGATATATTCTACGTTCGATCCATTTGCAAACTACTTGAATACGTATAATTAATGTACCTACGTCATTATAGCATTCAATGATTCGTTCACATTCTATGACGGGTGGATAGACTTAGTCGCTTAGATATTAATCTTACGTTAAAAATGTATAGAACCTTTCTTGTCACAAATTTTACTATCTTTAATTTTCATGTAAACTATTTTTATTGTAGTTATTAGTTTTAGTGATATTGTAAGAAAATCGTAAAAAGTGAAAAATTTCGGATTTATACACGTCATTATAGGGCGCGGCGCCACATTCTATGACGGTCGTTAGACTTTGTCGCTTAACTATTATTCTTACGCTAAAACTGTTTAGTATACCTTTCTTGTCACAAATTTAAGATCAATTGTTGTTAGCGACGCTACAGTCAAGTCCGGATTAAGGGTGGGTCCAGGGGGGCCATGGCCCCCGGGCCTCGATAGTTAGAATTTATTAAGGGGCCTCAGATTTATCCATTATACTTTTTTCGTTATAGGCTATAATGCTGCAAATAGTACAAAAGTAAATAATAAATTACAATGCAAAACTTACAAATAGATAATAGTACCCAGTAGATAGTGGATAGTAGATACTTAATATGCAACATAAATATTTTCATAAAAAAAAATATAAACATGGTGTGACTTTATAACAATAAAAATTAACAGCTACAAGACAAAATAACAATAAAATAATACAGAGAAGACACTGAGATTTGATATTATTAAAATTAATTAACTGCAGAACTTAATGCTATATAAACATTTTGTTTAAAAACTTGGTTTGACATAAAAAAGAAGTCAATTTTATTAGCAACACTATAAGCCAAAGTAAGTACTCTGGGAAAGAATTATGCTGAACTATAGTTGGTGGTATTTTATTTATAAATAAATTGATACATTATTCATTATTTATTGCTATGTACCTAATATCTATATATATTTATTATAACAAGTAGGTACCTAATATTAAATAATATATATACATTATTTTTTTTTCGTTCAGGGGCCTCATTCAAAACTTTGGCCCCTGGGCCTCAAAATGACTAAATTCGGGTTTGGCTACAGTAGCACGCTACTTTATTTGTAGCGATTGACGTAGCGTCTCTACATTACGCCTTAGAGATAACGAAATACTATAGGGCTCTAAACATTTCCGGTTAGCGTAGCGAAAATTGAAAAATATCATTATTTGGTCGGTACCTACAATCTAATTGGTGATTATTAAAGTATCAATTATGATTGTATTTGTTAATTTATATTATGATAATGATTAGTGTATTAGTGAAGTTTTTGTCCTAGGCCCTGTCCAGTGACCAAATGTCAAATCAGTACAAACTCCAAACACTAATTTTTAATAAGAACATTTTTAAAAAGGTGGGCAAGTGGGTGTCGCTCTGCTGTACAGTAGGTTACAAGTGGGTCACTGTATAATGGATGATATTAAATTTGAATTCAACGATATAATATCATTGTATAAAAAAACGATTCTGAGCGGAGACGGTATGTCAGTCTATGTAAAAGACACATTATATACATATCTATCTATGGTATTAAACAAAAAATTGACCTATAATAGGCTATATATAAATACCTATAGACCTATAAAATCCAAGCACTTTTACTGTCCTAAAACGTGATGACAGACACAAAAAAAAATAAAAAAATAAAAAAAAAACACACATCATTGTAAAATCAATACATTCATTGTTTCACTCAGAATCTAAAAAAGTAGGGATAGCGATATCGACATGGGCGCATATTGGGGAGGGGCTTGGGGGTGATAAGCCCCCTTAAACTTAGCCGAAGCCCCCCCAAAAACCTAGGATATACAGTTTTAATATGCTATATTCCAATGGTCTGCTTGCCTTTAATATATTCAGCCCCCCCCCCTCCAAGCTAAAAGTTGAAATTGCGCCCATGGATATCGAGCTACTTTTTTTGGGGGAGTAGCTGCGTAGCGTTAACGCGCTACAAAAATCTAGTAGCCTTCCGACCACTGCAAACATGTGGGTATAAATGGTATAATATAGTCACTTAAAATACGCACTTACTAAGTATTGATGTTATAATTGTTTGCAAACAACTTTTCTTGTTTGAGAGTTTTAAAGTTTGCCCTGTTTGACAAAATATTTAAATTAACGTTTTCGGTACCAAGAGACTTTGATACAATTTTAAATAAAACTATTCACTTTAGTTAAGTAGGTACCTACCTATTAACTAATTATTGTACATTTATACATAATAACATAACTGTTACTTTTAAAATGATATTTTAATATACCATTCATACTAAATCATACCATTATATTATTGAGTTATCTCATGTCTTAAAAATGTAATAGAATTAGTGTTTACTAAACCATTGAGAAATTGTATTAATTTACGGTCTGGCGATTTGACAAACCGCTGCTCGATTGGCATAATACCTACATAATACGATAAATAATAATATACTCGTATAATTACACAGATGCGTTTGGGTACCTTCATAATAATTTCTCTTATTTTCAGATGAATTTTTTCATCATGTAATGTTTTGTTCTTTAAAAATAAGGTTGGAGTCAAAGTCAACTATTTTTATAATTGCAAAAAATCGCGACTTTTTACTGTTTTCAAATTAGAACCCACAATAATATTATATTCAATGATTTTATATACTGGCCTGCAAAGCAAAATTGCTGTAACTTAAAAAAAAAATGATTTAGCTGTGGCCAGGTGATTGGTTACCAATCTTATACATTTTCCGTAGAAAAAGCCCCCTGGAATTATATTGAAAATAAGCTAAACGCAATTATTGTTCTTTGGAAAAGCAATAATAGTAACCAACAAAATTAGTTGTAATAAGTAAGAACGTCGTCTCGACTTATATTTACTAATTACTAAACATAAATGCCATTAATATTTGTATTTTTTTTATAGATCAGTGTATTAGCTTAAAATATTTTCTATGTTTTTCTTAGGTTACTGCAATTATTGTTAAAAAAACAATCAAGTAACGATGATATGAATATATCAGGAATTATTGTACCTCAACCATTGAATGGATGATTTAGGGATATTATATTCCTGTTGAAAAACTTAACTACATCCTAAACGATTTAAAACAAGTCCTACTATAGGAAATAATTTTGCCAGTTTTGGGAAAATATATCTAGGTACCAACCACCTGTAGTTTTTCATAATAGGTAATTTAAACTAAGTATAAATTTAATTTTGAGAATTTTTATATTATATATTTATTATTATTTTTGATGTCATAAGTTTTTTAATACACATTTATCATCGGCATTTTACCCTAGTAAATTATATAGACGATAATTATTAATTAATACCTAATTCCGTAAAATGTATCTAAAAGTTCTTCGGGGTGGATACTGGATATATATTCCTTTCAAGTTTCAATCCCTCTGAATAAGCTATAGGTAGGTATTACGAGTGTGTGGATATGCACTTGAAATGACGCTACTGCGATAATATAATATTATCAAATTTCAAAACAGGTCTGTAATATTACAATTAGTGGCGTAAATTTGACATAATCTGTGATTGTGCAGAGGAATGTTTACATAACTTTTTCTTCTTAATTCAAACAAATAAACAATACACACAAAAACTAATTTTCATGGAGATAAAAATCATCTAATATTTTACTTAAAACATTATTTTCATAATGCATTACCTACCTACTCTTTTAGTCTAATGTTAATATTGTTTCTGTAGTCTGTAGGTACTCTGTAGTCTGTTCACTTTCAAAAATAAATTCGTAACATTTCTATTTCAAACTAATATTATACGCGTCCTCTTTCATATCAAACACCCAAACTGATCAATGACTTGACCATATTACTATATTAGCGTTAGTTACGTTTTTAAAAGTTGTCATATTGCTAACTTAGCTGTTATTTAAAGTTAAAACTATCGTTATTTGACATTGACAACAATATAATAGCGTATAATTTATATCATGTTATTGTTACAAACACTGCTCTACTTTGTGAGTATTAGAGATGTTCTGAGTAGAAAATCTGGTATAAAGCCGGGTACCGAGTATTGGCCGAGTAAAAATTTTAACACTAACCGGGTATCGAGTATTGGTAGAGTAAAAATTTTAACACTAACCGGGTATCGAGTATAGGCCGAGTAGAACTGTAAATACAAAATTTGTATTATACTACTATCAAAGTATCAAGTATCAAATTTATAAACATTAGACAGAAAACACTAGATTTATTTTTGTAATTTGTAGATGAAAAACATGATTTGCTTATAATTATCTGGCTATTGTAATTCGGTTCAGTTATTTCAATATGTACCAAAATAAATTATAATTTATCACCCTACAATTTTAGATTTTTCCCGTTTTATTAATTATGGGTATGCATATATTTATAAATAGATTATCAGAGTTTGCCATTGGATATGAGTCGAGTAAAAATGAAGATATTACGCCGGTACCGAGTAATGGCCGGCTAAAAATGTAGGTATTACGCCGGGTACCCGGAACATCTCTAGTGAGTATGACATATTTAAGATTTTCTGGGGACTGTCAGAACGACAGTCTTACACCTGTGGAGCATTAAGAATATTTTTTTTAGGGGTCGGATAACAAGAATTTTAACTTACAGAGCCGTGGGGGGTTACAATAATTATACAATAATACACGTATTCAAAGAGCCACAGGGGCGGATCTGTCCTCAAATCCAACTAGGTACGTAAATACACCACGGCCGCCACACATCAGATATCCAATGTGGTGGCACATTTGTACAAGCAAATTTACGTCACTGTTGAGAATATAATATTATGATCTCTGTATGAATCTGCCGGCCATTCAAACCTCGTTACCCAGCTGCAATCTGTATAAACTATAACAGGTGTATAACACACAATTATGTGCAGTCAATGCATCTAAAAAGATTCCTCTGCACTGCAGATCTCGATGTGCATTGCTACCTGCCTACCTATGCGTAAGACCGAGTGATTATAATACAGATATTATCTTCATCACCGCCGTAGTCGTAATTGATTTCGTTATTTCTTTTCTCCTCTTCTACATCGCATCGTGTTTTGCTTATGTGCACTTTTCGCAACGGCTGTCTTCCATCATGTACCAGCTATACCTACTATGTATAGGTAACCATTTCATAGTGTTACGCTATAATTGCGCGTGCCGGTCAGTGAAGTACACTAGCACTAGTAGGTACCTATTATCAGGTGTATTATTAATTACCGACGTGGTTTCGTCCGACACAAATCTCCGGCTGCGTGGACCGCGGAGAGGGACACGGACATGAAGACTCCTCTTCGTTATAAGCGAGTAGGTACCTATCTCTGCGTAGGTCCATAATATTATATTATTATTATTATTAATAATAATTATATTGTTATAAACGCGTGCCTGCTGCATTGTGTAACGTAATAATATTCACGCTTACCTACGCTGTATATCTTTCACCTCCTTACGTATGTACCTACCTACCTAAACATCACTGTACGGGTTAGGTACCTACCTATATATAATACTCCGAGTTTTCGGATAACCGTCATCAGTGCATCGAGAAGAACGCCGAGTGCAACACGTGCTATTTGTGTACTTATACCTTTTATCTATACACGATATACTTGCAGCTTACTCACAAGCAAGCATTACCATACGATATAGCTTGACACCGAGAAAAAGTATACATCAACGATATCACACTTCAGACAATAACATGGCCGCTAAGGTGAGTTTGACTAATAATGTGAAATACTAAAATATATTTTATATTATATTTGTAATAAAAAAGTATTGGTAGTTACGAACGTAGTTTTATAAGCTTAAATTAATAATTTATTATTTTATGGGAAAAAAGTATACATTAGTATAGATAAAATGTCGAGCAAAAAATGTATGACAAATGGGTGTACCTATCTACTATAATTTATTATTATAATATCGTTCACATAATTTTTTATGTTTAATCGTGTAGATTTACTTTGTAATTCTATATACTTTTATAAGCTAACAAATTTTCTGAATCATGTTTTAAAAAATGTATCTTATATAAGTTCAATTGAGTCATCAGAGTTATTCTCATTTTCTTAATAAAATTGCTGTAGTACCTACATTAACCATTTCTCACTATAGAGTATAGACAATGTTTAGATTTTTAAATATTTTTATTGACTTTAATGCAACCAGACAGGTGTAACAAATGTGGACAATCTTTCAATCACACAGTTCGTGTGATTGACTATAGGCAGGCGAGTCCCTGAGGTTAGCCCCCCTCCCCCCCATAAGTCGTTAGATGTTCCGTTTTTGCTAATAGATAAATACATTTTATAAATGTTGTTAAAAGTGGTATTCAAGACTAATATTCCCCCCTCCCCCCATGGAATTGACCTGAAGACACCCCTGACTATAGGTCACGTGTGTAGCAAGGGCCCTCCCTGCAGACCACATCATCCCCAAAATGTTAGGACAATTAAAAAAAAATGTCGGTGTTCTGTGAAAGTATATGTAAGATTCTGTGTAAACTATGAAGGTTGCCGTGAAAGTCTTCAATGTTATATACCCACGCATTACGCATCATTATAGCAAACTTATGAGGGATACCTACGCTATACAACAAATTATCAGTCACCCCCCAATCAAAATCCTGGCTATGCCTACTTAATTGGAGTAAATATGTAATATGCAAACATTTATTTATAAGTATCAAAAATTACCCAATTAAATAATTAGCATACATTTTAAAAAGAATGTGTATTTTGATTTTTGGGAGATACGGATTATTTTCCGGTTCAATCATATTTTAACAGTTTTTGATGGAATATTTAGAGAATATTTCAAGCAATTTTGTAAAGTATTTGAGTAAAAGTATTTAAACACTATTTGTAATCAAAGTATTTTTAAAGTATTTCAAATGATTTTACATACCTACCTGGCTACCTACGTATTTGTATTTCGAATTCAATTATTTTTATTTATGTAAATAATTTATCGTTTTTGTTTGGATCATCAATATAAACTTGGAAATAAAAGTCATTAACATTTTGAATTTGATATAGCTTTCTAAAATAAATTCCGAATCGTTGATTCTATTGGTCGAAATAAATCCTATTATTAATTCATATTTGACGTGAATTAAAAACCATAAAATATTATTATTATTGGTTATCGTATACGGGATTTTGTACTTCAGGTGTATATCATGCGTGTAATGTATATATTGTGTATAAATAATTTAATATATATTTTATTTTAAAACTAAAGGAAATACGTCATATAACAAATAATACACAGACAGTCGGTATTCTGTGCATTTTTATAAAGCAGGAACGTTTTGTGATATACTTCCGAACATTTATGTACAATTTGTTATATTTTGGTGCCGACCTGGTAGAGGCATATTATACGTATGCCGCTCGTGCATTGCACAATATGGTAGACGGTTAAAATAAGTCAATAATCTCAATGACCAAGCTTAAAATAATATCAAATAAAATGAATAGGTATTGATAATTAATTGAAAAACAATACAATATATATCTGTAAAGTTGGTATTTCAATAAAAGTAGGCACTTACTTACTTATATTCTTATGTATTTGTATTTTTTTATAAAATCATTTTTAAGTTGATCTATTTCTATTTCTATTTAAATACATGTTCTTGTGAGAAGACATTTTTTTCATCACAATATTAGATTTTCAAGGTTTTTTTGTGCTCAATATTAACATCGCGTTTGAAATCTCCGCTGACCTACACAAGTCATATCATAACATATTATTGTGATATTTATCACATTTTTTCAGCTTTCATACTGCCGCGTCGTCGCGGTTTTCTTCCTGGCCGTGTGCGCCGTAGCCTCTGCGTCTCCGTTCCAGCTGCACGATGACGAGTACCCCCGGCAGCAGGAGCACTACGACTCGTCGACCGCGGAGCACAGCGAGGCTGTGGGTGACAGCTCTCACAAGCCAGGGTCGACGTATCACTTTCAGTACGCGGTGCACGACCCGCTGACCGGCGACGAGAAGAGCCAGAATGAGGTGGGTGACGGCCATGGGTCGGTCAAGGGCACATACAGCCTGGTCGAACCGGACGGCTCCACCCGGGTGGTCGAGTACACTGCCGACGACGAGCACGGTTTCAGGGCCGAGGTGAAGAGGATCGAACCGGTGCACCGTCAACAACATGACCCGTCGCCGTCCGTCGCCGACCCGTCGTACAAGTTCGACTTTGCCGCCGAACACTCAGCCGCAGCCCCGGTTGACTACGAACTGCAAAAGTCGCTGCACTACAACTACCCTTTGCAGGAACACCAACCCGAACTCCACCAATTGTCGTCATCGCACCTTTAAAGTCTTTCACTACGCCGTCAATCGTCGTCTCCCTCGCCGTTTCACATATTGTTATTGTTATTATTTCACATACCACGCGACTGCGGTATAATAAATGCGTGGTGAGTTCGCATATTATACCATCTCTATATTATATAAGATACTTTATACGTTAAGTCATATGTATTCGGACTTGGAAATACATAATATGTCTCCCCCACCCCCACATCTCGCACGTTTACACATATAGATAGTTTACAATACAGTGGACACACCTTATAAGAGAGAAGACACGGATAAGAGTTAAGTCGCTTATATAAGACTCAAAATCGTCCTGAACAGTTCGGACGTATCCCAAATACCTACATTCAAAAATAGTTTGTTATAAGACTAAAATATTCCACTAGGACCCCTATAATTTGAAAACAAAATTGGTAAAATATGTAGATATTTTTGGTAAAATTTCGAAACGAATTTTAAATAGGTAATGTATTGTAAAAGTAAAATAGCGAAATAAAGTTAATACTTCAATTTAAATGATTTTCTGGTTTTTTCCCCGTTTTGCCTATAATGTTCATTTGGTTATAAAACTCACTTTATACTGATCCAAAGTGATGTGACTTATAGAGGCGGCGTCCACTGTAATACGTATAGGTATACCGTTCAATAGATATTTGTATGTGTTTACGATCATGGGCACACCCAACCATTCCTCCTCGTAAATACTACAGTAAGTCCCAAGTCTGGGCCATATTTTGTAAACAATAATTGTTGTTATTATTTTTATACTCGCACAGCATCGTGTAACAATTTATAAATATTTTGTAATATATATATTAGAATTTCTTTGTAATATAATTTCAACGAGAAATAATTTCTTTTTGTGATTTTTTTCATCGATTATTTATTAAAACAGTAACAGCTGTGGTAATATTATTGTGAAGAGAAATGTACAGACCTTTTGTATTTGGGGTGTATACTGGATAGAAATAAGGATAGGAAAACCCCTCTGTGAGTGAGATTTTGATCGAGTAAAAATTATTTTTATCTCTTTTTGTCCACAACTCACAAGCCCGTTTACCATTTATAAGTTGTAATTTTATAATTTTATTTCACTTAATTACCGTCATATATATATATACACATATACCATGAAAATAACTCCTTAATTTTGTACTTATAAATAAATTCAGCGCTGGTTGGTGTTAAATTTGTGTAAACGAAAATAATTAATATCCAATATAATATTAGATATTATATTATAAAAAAGCGGGTAAGTGGATGTCACTCTGCTGCACAGTAGGTTACAAGTTGGTAACTGTATAATGGGTTGTTTTAAATTTGAATTCAATGATATCATATCATTGTATACGAAAATGTGTGTGCCTTTGTACTCACGAATGATGTGTAAACATCTTAGCTGTAGTGCGACTTTGACTGGGGAATATAATGTCATGGTTTGAGTGGGAATTTGTATGATACATATTATACGATACAAACACGGTTTCGCGCAATCGCGCGTATACGTAAACGAGAATAATAAATAATATCAATAATAATAATGAATCGGCCGACGACTGTACCAGAGCGCGTTCGCACCTACCAGACTCGTGAAAATAACAAAGAAAATAATAGATAAGCAACTCGCCTGGTTTATTGGTTCTGCGATTTTAGCGCTATGGCAACGACACACACACACACACACACACACACACACACACACACACACACACACACACACACACACTCAAGCAGTCACAACTACATGACTTACGCCCGACGCTCGATTCCCCAAGAAGGTCGTACTACAAACCGATAGCATAGATGTTTACACATCAATAATAGTACCTATGGTAAGTAGCTGCGTAGTTTCTAAATGTAAGTTAATTAAATTAAATTGCAATCAGTTAGGTTAAAAGTTAACAAAAAAAAGGTGTCGTTTATCCAGACCATATTGAGGCCATGTGAAATCATAAGTAAGCATATGTCAGTTACAGGAATAATACATTTTGCGGGTTTTATGTAGGTATATTAAAAAAAAAAATGTCTGAATATCTTCAGTTTTATTTATCCAATGCTCTGTTGAGTGGTTCCAAATTATACTACTTACATACTATTATGGTAGTAGGTACAGGTTTATATTTGAAAGTTTCCAACAAATTCGCTTTAGAAATGATAAAATGTTACTTCCTTTAATATTCTGAGTGGAACGATGAATGTATTGATTTTACAATGATATGTGTATTTTTATTTTTTTATTTTTTGTTTTTGTGTCTGTCATCACCTTTTAGGACAGTAAAAATGCTTAGATTTTCTTCAACAGTATCTTTTCTGATAGGAAAGTGAATCAAGTTGGTACTTTGGGGGGTCAAAGGTAAAATATTCTCAGTAGTTATCAAAAGCACCATGAAAAACAAAAGAAAAATTAAAGAAAAATGGGGAATGTTTTCGAGATAATCGATTTTGGTTCTTGGTGCAACTCTTTAACAAATGACCGTAGGTACCTGAAATTTTGACTGAATGTTTATATTAACATTTTCTATATAGCATACCATTTTCCAAATATTTTGACTTATTTTGAGCTCTTTACGGACATTTTCAGTTTCCATTTTTTTTAATTTTTTTTTCTATAAATATCGATAAAATTTTATTTTTTGGGCCAAAAATTTTAAAAATTTAATACAAGGTTCCTGATATATTGTTACAATAGCAGCTGAAAAATATTAAAAATACATAAAGTCAAAATTTTCTTTTATAAGCATTTAAAGTTCATATTTTGACAAAATTTATCAAATTTAAAATGTAATAATTATTTTGTAGTTAATAATTTATAAAATTGTCAACTTTTATATCTAAGGATTGAAATTTTAAAACAAGATTCCACGTAAATAGCTTATATATAAATTACTTTATTGACAATAATATCATAAAATATATTTTGTAATATCATAGGCTGACTGATCATTTTCTAATACAATGATATTATATCATTAAATTCAAATTTAACACCATCCATTACAGCGACCCACTTGTAACCTACTGAACAGTAGAGCGACATCGACTTACCTATCACTGTAAAAAATGTTTATGTAAATTTACACAAAATGTGTGGCAACACACATTAATAACGCCATGTGTTTAAATTTACAACATATTACTTGTAAATCTACAATCATAGTGAAGTTGAAATTTACTAACCTATTTGATGTGTAAAATTATCAGTAGTCATAGTTGAAATTTAACCTTCTTTTTTTAAAATCATTTATAGTTCAAAAATTGACAAAATATGGAAAAATCACGAAAATTAGCAAATTATTTTGAGTTAAGAATTCGTAAGAAATTTTCTTTTTAAATCTAAGATTTTAAAAAAGTAATATAATATGATTTTAGAGCTGCAAAATTTAAGTCAATTTTTTTTTGTTATTTACCGAGAAAAATGTACGTAAATTTGGTAAATTTTGATAATTTTGGTATGTTATCATAACAACACCACCAGAACTCCTCTCTGACACATTTGTCGCATTTCCATGAACTTATAATTACCTATGGTAACATTTATTTTTTTTTATTTACCGAATATAGTAGGATGTTCAATTGAACAGGGTAGTTGTTATTTTTAAACTTTTTAAGTTTAGTGACTGGGGTTCTGGTTTTAATATATGTGTTAAAAATAATAAAAATGATTGTGTAGAACATTTAAAAATAACCAGAGAAGTTTAATCTGTGCCCTAAAGCCTTGAAAAGTTTAACACTACAAATATTTTAAATGTGGTTTATTATCTATATCTGTGACAAAATCAAATTTATATTAATTACGATAATTGATCGTGTTAGATATTCTTATGGTGTATTAATATGTTTACACTATCAGTGGTTGTGGAAGTTTTACATTTTATACTATAAACTATTCCATTTTATTCATGTGTTACGACTGATGAATATTGGCCCCGTGATCGTGATGCCGTTTAATTTGAGGTGGCACATGTTAATATTTTTCTGGTAAAAAAATAATTGGTAAATTTACGAGGTAAAAATTTACCAAGCTTACATTTCTACAAGATTCCTTATAAGATTAATTACCTTTATCAAAAAAATGTCTATAAGAAAGTCAAATTACATTTTTATGAGCGTTTGAAATTCAAATTTTTACAACATTGGATATTCACTCGACTTCTCTTGTAGCAAATTTCTCATTTTGTTGTAATTTAAAAACGAATAAATCTAGATACATGAACAATTTCACTAAATGTTTATTTTATCAATTCTTATATACTTGATGCAATTTTCAAAATATTTTGACTTGTTTTGAGCTGTTTATGGACAATTTCATATTACTTTTTTTTTTCTATTAATATCAATAAAGTTTTATTTGTTGGGCCGAAAAGTGTACAAATGTTATACAAGGCTCCTGATATATTGTTACAAATTACAATAGTAATTGAAATATATTAAAAATGCATAAGCATTTAAAAGGCATTTATAGATCGAATTTTGACAAAATGTATTAAATTTAAAATTAAAATAAAATGTTCAACTTTTATATCTAAAGTTTGAAAATGTTAAACAAGATTCTGTTTAAATAGTAAACTCTGTTACCAAAAAATCTAAAAAATACATAAGCACAGATTATTTACGAAATTACAAATGAAAAAAGGTGCTCTGCTGTACAGTAGGTTACAAGTAGGTCACTGTATAATAGATGATATTAAATTTGAATTCAATGATATAATATCATTGTATAAGAAAAACGATTCTGAGCGGAGATGGTATGTCAGTCTAGCCGTCTAGGTATAAGACATATTATATACTTATCTATCGTATAAAAAAAATTGACCTATGATAGATACCAAAAATAAATTCCAAATTAATCATATCACAATATCCATTAGGTACTTATAACGCGTTATACATCAACAACAAACCCTGATACTATCATAGATATATAATAGTGTACTTTAGAAATTTAAAGTACCCACGAATAATATTATACAATCACAACGAAATAACTAAAATAGTTATTCTAGGTTTTTTATTATGTAATGTCGTCCAAAGTTGAACTTAAAATGACTATAAAAATAAACTGTGCTTATGTATTTTTTAGATTTTTTGGTAACAGGATAAACTACTTACGTGGAATCTTATTTTAAATTTTCAATCCTTAGATATAAAAGTTGAACATTTTATACATTTTTAACTACAAAAAAATTATTCAATTTTAAATTTGATACATTTTGTCAAAATTCGATCTTTAAATGCTTATAAAAAAAAATTGTGCCTATGTATTTTTAATATTTTTCAACTGATATTGTAACAATATATCAGGAGCCTTGTATTAAATTTTACAACTTTTGGCCCAAAAAATGGCGACAAATGTGGCAGAGAGGAGTTCTGGTGGTGTTCCTATGATAACATACCAAAATTATCAAAATTTACCAAATTTACGTACATTTTTCTCGGTAAATAACAAAAAAAAATTGACGTAAATTTTGCAGCTCTAAAATCATATATTACTTTTTTAAAATCTTAGATTTAAAAAGAAAATTTCTTACGAATTCTTAACTCAAAATAATTTGCCAATTTTCGTGATTTTGCCATATTTTGTCAATTTTTGAACTATAAATGATTATAAAAAAAGAAGGTAGGTAAGTCGATGTCGCTCTACTGTTCAGTAGGTTACAAGTGGGTCGCTGTAATGGATGGTGTTAAATTTGAATTTAATGATATAATATCATTGTATTAGAAAATGATCAGTCAGCCTATGATATTACAAAATATATTTTATGATATTATTGTCAATAATGTAATTTATATATAAGCTATTTACGTGGAATCTTGTTCTAAAATTTCAATCCTTAGATATAAAAGTTGACAATTTTATAAATTATTAACTACAAAATAATTATTACATTTTAAATTTGATAAATTTTGTCAAAATATGAACTTTAAATGCTTATAAAAGAAAATTTTGACTTTATGTATTTTTAATATTTTTCAGCTGCTATTGTAACAATATATCAGGAACCTTGTATTAAATTTTTAAAATTTTTGGCCCAAAAAATAAAATTTTATCGATATTTATAGAAAAAAAAATTAAAAAAAATGGAAACTGAAAATGTCCGTAAAGAGCTCAAAATAAGTCAAAATATTTGGAAAATGGTATGCTATATAGAAAATGTTAATATAAACATTCAGTCAAAATTTCAGGTACCTACGGTCATTTGTTAAAGAGTTGCACCAAGAACCAAAATCGATTATCTCGAAAACATTCCCCATTTTTCTTTAATTTTTCTTTTGTTTTTCATGGTGCTTTTGATAACTACTGAGAATATTTTACCTTTGACCCCCCAAAGTACCAACTTGATTCACTTTCCTATCAGAAAAGATACTGTTGAAGAAAATCTAAGCATTTTTACTGTCCTAAAAGGTGATGACAGACACAAAAACAAAAAATAAAAAAATAAAAATACACATATCATTGTAAAATCAATACATTCATCGTTCCACTCAGAATATTAAAGGAAGTAACATTTTATCATTTCTAAAGCGAATTTGTTGGAAACTTTCAAATATAAACCTGTACCTACTACCATAATAGTATGTAAGTAGTATAATTTGGAACCACTCAACAGAGCATTGGATAAATAAAACTGAAGATATTCAGACATTTTTTTTTTTAATATACATAAAACCCGCAAAATGTATTATTCCTGTAACTGACATATGCTTACTTATGATTTCACTTATGGCCTCAATATGGTCTGGATAAACGATGAATATACGTTATACTTACACAAAAATGTCACTGTTAAAATTTTATGACTCATAAATTACCTACTTAATAATAATGTGGATTTTCCGAAAATACTCTCTAAAATAAATTAAGATATTTATTTTTTATATGGATTACAAACACCAATAGCCTTGAAGTACCAGGTAATCTAGTGATATATTCCTTTAATTTGATAAAAATGTATGATTTTCCATTTGATAATTAATACTTTACCTTTATTGTGTCTTTTGCTAATTTCTTTATGCTTTTGTAAGAATAATAGTTCATTTAAATGTTGCTGTAGGTACTCTTGTTTTTCTTTTGGGGCGTTATCAATAAATTAAATATACATGACCTATTACATCCAATAGCCATTGATACAACGAAAAGAACAGTTCTAAGTTTCTAACAATAAACACATAATAATAATAATCCATAATATCTAAGTGTATGCACGCACTATATGCTAGTCTAAAATATATCGATAAATATTCCAAAACAATTTAATTTCAAAATAAACCTATTAAAAAAATAGTTTCACTTCATTTGAATGAACTACAATAAAATTAAATGAAAAGAATAGAATATTGGCATATTCACAAATCTTAGTACTTCGACTTGTAGTACTGCTTTTATTTTGCGAGGGCACCTATAACTACAGATGATTTCATACAGATTCACGGTGTGTTTTAGCTATTTGTTACCAGTTACCATGGAAAAATGTATCATATTCATACATTTGTTGATCGTGAAAATATTTCATATTATTATTAATCACTCTCACATTGACAGCATCAAACAATAAATTATAAAATAAAAGTTGGTTATCCAAAAAAAAACAACTCATATTTCGTCATGACAATAAACGTATTTCCTTTAATTTTGCATCATACTGACTGACATACATGTTTAAATTACCATAATAAATAAAGTGCCTTTGTTATAAATTATAATATAAAATATATAAATAGTATACATTTATCAAAAATTGCATAAATACATCAATAGTTATTACGTATTACAATTTGTCAGTTCTTTATAACAAAAAAAAATGACACTAGCGTTTAAAGTTACTATACTTAAATAAAACATTAAATTAAAAGTAAAATTCTCATATTAAAAGTGAGTAATTAAAATACTTAATCGAGTCAAGACCTTACAGTTTACAATCTAAACTTTAGATCATAGGATTTATTTTTATTAATTACCTACCTAATTTTTCCGCAGGATTTTTTAATAGGCTATCTGTTTGAACAATAAGGTTATTTATGATAATACAATGATGACATGGAAAACACAAGGAAAAATAATTTGTTATATTAACATTTATTTGGAATAATATAAATAGGTAAGTGTCAAGGCTTTATAGCGAATGAATAATTTATGAACGAGCATAGTAACCTGAACCTAATAGGCTAATGACCTATTGGTTGAAGCCTCTATTAATAATTAAAAAATAAAATAATAATAATATTTAATTTGCATAACTGGGAATTTAAACTATAGTCTGCACTCGGCAATTATCACCTATAATATAATAATATATTATATTCATAATATGGTAATAGGGCTGAAGTCTTGAAACATCTATCTATCTGCCTACTAGTTATATAAGAGTGTATATAGGCACATATGTATTTATCATCAAATATAAAATGTCAACTAAGTAACCCTAAATTATTAATGAAAATATCAAGAACAGTATAATAAATAATTGAAAATGTCAATTCTTCTCAATGATATTTGATACAAAATTGAATGATAAAAAAAATTTCTTGGGTAAGTTATGACATACTTGTTGTATCTTCTGTTTGATAGTATACCTACCCTACTTCTTTATTTATATTAAGTTAAACATCAATCTGAACATTCAAAAGTATGATTAATTAAATTTATCCAGTACAATATGGGACATGTAATATTAATAAATTATACAAAATGAAAATATACTTATTAATAACTACATTAACTAGAACCTATAGCAATGTTTTATTATACGATTCTCATGAGGACACTACAAACACTTATTATTTCACCGAAACGGACACCTAAAATATAATGAGGTGGATGACAACTTTTTCTGTACAGCGCAGTAACAATAACCGATCAGTTTGTTTTATATTTTGGTTGTTACCTATATAAATTGTCTATCTGGTATTATTTGGCATTTTTGAAGATTATGTAATTCTAGTGATAAGAATAATCGAGTTTAAAAACGGTTTTTGGGTAGAAAGAAATTTATCTTGTCTGAAAAATGTTGCAGAAATTAGTAATTACTAAGGGTTGTTTCTATAGAGACCGTTTTACGATGTCACTATAATATGTAGTAGTAATCGTACAATACATAGTAGTCTATAGTGGTACTGACGCAAAGTCGCTTGCTAAGTTCTAAATTACTTTGGGAATGTTAAATTATAAGTTTTCAACGATTACTGAACACAGCAGATATATCTACTGTTTTCGACATCTAATTAATTAATCTACTAAAACGTAACAATACATCTAATAGACAGTAGCGTTATAGTATGCTGTATACTGACCACACTAAGGGCTGTGAATCGAATGCATTAAACACTGTTAAATAAACGTGCACTTAATACTTTTGTGTTATAAAAATACATTTAAAAAAAATGTAATATTAATATTGTTTAAATATTATGCACTGGGTAAAGATAGTAGGTACCAAATATAGTGTAAAACAAATTTTGATCAAACTCGAATAAAATATATGAACATATATTATAGAAATGATTTTCGTTCGTTTTAGACTCGATGCTTATTTTTAATGTCAACCGCATATTTTAGTGGATAAACACCGGAATCTGTTTCAGGGGAACCATTAGTGCATCAGATTCACAGCCCCTTACACGATGGGTCGGTCGGTCAGTACATCCAACTGGACCACGTGTTGTTGAACCGGGCTGGGTTGGCGGCCGGGTCGAACGGCCGGTTGGTCTGCGGCACTAGCAGCCGCCTGTAGTACTTGAGGGCCTCGTACAGCTGCCCGCTGACGGCCACGTACTTCTTGGCCACGTTGTTGGTCTCGCAAGGGTCGGCCACCAGGTCGAACAGGCACGCCTCGCCAGCCGGACATGGTGACTGGGTACGAGGCCCCGCCGCCGAAGGGTTGCACCGGACTGTCGACTCGTACCTCATGGCCAACAGTTCGCGGACGCCGCTCATTGGTCCGAAGCCGGCGGTGGCGAAGGGAAGCGAGTCCGACAGCTTGGCGAGTGCCCGACCGGCAGGGCTGAACAGAACCGCGGTTGCGTTATACGGTGTCCGCGGTCTGGTCGCCCCGAAGAATCCGTCCAGTGTCCCGTTCGCTGTCGAACCTGCCGGGGAGCAAACGGTTAGCTTTCGTTGTGTCAAAGGTGAAATTGACAGGTATGAAAATGTAATAGATGAAGAGTTTCATAGTAGGCAATGGCAACAGGGGTACAAGAGGATTTCAAATGAGTTTGAGACTACGAAATATTCGAGATATTGATCATTGTTCGACTTAATAATAATCTACTGTAGTAATAATTTAGGTATTCAAATTAATAAAACACGCAGAAGCCCTGCAAATGTAAACTCGGATAAAAAACTACAAAATTGCGACATATAATTTTGCAATTGACAAAAGAGTATGAATTTATATGGTTACCCGGCTATAATACATGAACAGCGACTAACGAATTCACCAAAGAACTAGGTACCCGAAACAATGAACCTCTCAGATGCTCATGATCCCCATAGAGCCATAGGCTTATTTATAGAAAATACTAACTTAATAGTTAATCTAACCTAACCTATCTCATTTCGAAACTGGGTCGAAATATTTCCCCAACCATCCCACCACAACCGGCTTAATGCCTCTGGGAAGTGCATAACATCGTTCTCCCGTCTTTGATTTTACCCCACCTTATTTCCCTATGATTCAAAAAAATTTGTTAAAATACACAAAATGAACGTAATATTTGTAATATTACGTAAAAATGACCTTAAAAATGCAATAAAATGCAAAATAAAAATACATCTTCTAAATTGTTATATCACGAAACAAATTTAGTTTTTTGGTTAGAATTGTATAGCACTTAAGAAAAAAATGCAAAAGTCACAAAAATCCTAGCTCTAATCATAATATTCGTATATTTTGTCTTTTTTAAACGACTGTACATTTTTGTTAAAATAATTTTCGAAAAAAACTCACCGACGATTAATTTCCAGTTGTCTTTGAGAATACCTGCATAACGCTGTTTTTCGTCTATATTGAGTAGAACGAAATTACGTTGAGATGGTAAATTTAATGTAAGAGATGTCCATTGGTCGATTCCATCCAGATTTTTCGGTAAAAATCCTGGATTTCCACCTGAAACAAAGTTACCAATATTACCATAGAAAATAAACTGTCTAATAAAATGTCGTTTTTGAAGTACCTATATTGGATATATTATATTTTTATTCGTAAAGCTGCGCGTTTTATTTAAGTACGTATTTTTAAAACAAAACTAAAAATGTTTTACAAATCGTGTTTTTGTTTTAGATTCTAAGTGGAATGAATTAACAGTTGTTAGTAAAATAATGATTAAATTCTTTCTTGTCTACAACCCTGAATAACCGTAAAAATTAATAATTATGTAATATAGTTTGTTTAATATAACGTCGGGAAAGTTACATGTACAACTCAACATTGGTTAAGTCGAATCTTTGTATTATAAATCAAGTTGTCAAATTTTAAGTCGTTAATATTGTATGTGCTGTATGATACGTACCTGCAGCTGAATATAACGTCGGCAGCCAATCAGTAATGTGCATGAGCTGTTTGGAAACTCGAGGATTTTCCTGGAAATATGGAGCCCAGATAAATGACGCGCTCTTAACGCCACCTTCCCACAACGTGTTCTTTATCTATGGAAATATGTAAAATTATAAAAAAATCAAATTCTTATGTTATTTGACTTCTTTATTGTATCTTCACAAACTGCAAGAAGCACATAATAAAATTACAGTAGGTCCGTGAAGTTAGCCGCACAATGTCAAAATTTTGACTCCAAATTTTGTAAATAATTTGTAAGTCATTTGTAAGTATTTGTAAGCACAATTTGGTAATTTGTAAGTACAGCCGTTTTCAATTATCCTCAAAAGTTTAAATCACGGCTAACTTTCGCGAAACTTGGCCGTTTCAGCATTTCAAAGCTTTTGACTACTCCAAATCGTCAAGGGCAATTTTTAAGTATTTGTAAGCACGAATTTAGAATTTGTAAGTCATCCCTTCCTTAATTATCCCTAAAGAAAAGTTGGCCGTGCTTTGTCGAGCTTTGGAACTTTGAATGTGCCAAATCGTCAAGGGCAATTTGTAAGTATTTGTAAGCACGAATTTAGAATTTGTAAGTCATCCCTCCTTAATTATCCCTTAAAGAAAGTTGGCCGTGCTTTGTCGAGCTTTTCGAACTTTGACTGTGCCAAATCGTCAAGGGCAATTTGTAAGTATTTGTAAGCACAAATTTAGAATTTGTAAGTCATCCCTTCCTTAATTATCCCTTAAAGAAAGTTGGCCGTGCTTTGTCGAGCTTTTCGAACTTTGACTGTGCCAAATCGTCAAGGGAAATTTTTAAGTATAATTTGTAAGCACGAACTGGGGTAACGTTACTCCAGTACCACCATCGGCTTGTATTGGTTCCACCAGGCCCGTATTGAGGGGAGGGCCATTGCCCCTCTTGGTGCGACTTTTGGGTGGTAAATTTTTATGAACTTTTTTTATTATTAAGCCAACATAGTTATAACTTTAAAATTATGTAAAATAATTTTTTCCTTATGTATAGTGATTTGGTGGAGATTTCTCCTAAGTTTATTTTAGGATGATATTCTTTCAAATTTATTTTATACTAATAATAATAATTATTCTTTGGATAACTGACAATGGCATGATAGCAGCCCTCAGCTAGCGTAGTTGTAAATAAGTAAAAAACAACATAATAATAAGGTTTATTTTACAAAAAAATATACATTTGCAACAAAAATGTATAATTGATACACAATCTAGATTTTAGATATGATAAAACAATCAAATTTGATAAACAATGTATTATTTAATAAAAAGCTTGATAGGATTTAAATATGATTAAAAAAAAAATATTGATTTTGGTAAATATCTTGATAAAAAATGTATATAAAATAAAATAAAATAAAACTAAATAATAAAAAATTTAAAAAATAATAAAAAAAATTGATAAAAAAAATATAATTTTAAAGAAAAATGTATATTAATACACAATTGAGATTCTAGATATGATAAAAAATACAAATTTTATAAAAAAATAAATTGTTTCATAAAAAAAAATTATTATTTCATAAAAAATATAAATAGAATAAAAAAATCTAAATAAGATTTAAATAAGATAAAAATGTATATAAATGTTGATAAAAAAATCTTTAAAAAATCTACAATTTTTAAGAATTTTGATAAAAAAATGTATACTAAATAAAACAAATATAAATAGAATAAAAAAATCTCGGTAAGATTTAAATATGATAAAAATCTATATTTGATAAAAAAAAAGTAAATTTTATAAAAATCTTGATAAAATCTTTTTGATAAAAAAAAATTTGATTAACAATTTTATATACATTTTTTAACAAGATTTTTACCAAATTTAGATTTTTTAAAAATTTTTTTACAACAATCAATAGTTTTTTTTTTATCATATTTAATCTTATCAAGATTTTTTTATTAAATTAAATTGTTAATCAAATTTTTTTTTATCAAAAAGATTTTATCAAGATTTTTATAAAATTTACTTTTTTTTTATCAAATATAGATTTTTATCATATTTAAATGTTACCGAGATTTTTTTATTCTATTTATTTGGTTTATTTAGTATACATTTTTTTATCAAAATCTTAAAATTGTAGATTTTTTAAAGATTTTTTTATCAACATTTATATTCGCACCAAGAGGGGCAATGGCCCTCCCCTCAATACGGGCCTGGTGGAACCAATACAAGCCGATGTGGTACTGGAACGTTACCCCCGTTCGTGCTTACAAATTATACTTCAAATTGCCCTTGACGATTTGGCACAGTCAAAGTTCGAAAAGCTCGACAAAGCACGGCCAACTTTCTTTAAGGGATAATTAAGGAAGGGATGACTTACAAATTCTAAATTCGTGCTTACAAATACTTACAAATTGCCCTTGACGATTTGTGCACATTCAAAGTTCCAAAAGCTCGACAAAGCACGGCCAACTTTCTTTAAGGGATAATTAAGGAAGGGATGACTTACAAATCCTAAATTCGTGCTTACAAATACTTAAAAATTGCCCTTGACGATTTGGAGTAGTCAAAAGCTTTGAAATGCTGAAACGGCCAAGTTTCGCGAAAGTTAGCCGTGAGTTAAAACTTTGGAGGATAATTGAAAACGGCTTGTACTTACAAATTACCAAATTGTGCTTACAAATACTTACAAATGACTTACAAATTATTTACAAAATTTGGAGTCAAAATTTTGACATTGTGAGGCTAACTTCACGGACCTGATTACAGTTCCAACTAGACCATAATAACTCAGAAAAGGGATATGAATATCCAAATTTTTTTAATACTTTGGAAAGAGTATATTTTTAATATTCTGTGATGAATAATATATTTATATTATTATGGTCGTGGATCCGTCGTCTAGTTATGCCAAGAGTATAGCTGGCCGACCTTAAATGTAATTTATTATATTTTTTTTCTAAAGTTAGTTGTTATTTTTTCTAGTAGTAAATATATGTATAAACGATTTTCGTTTTGATAGAAAACATTTTGGTGATCGTGAATATATATATGACAAATTGTAATTTTGAGGTTCTTGGAATTTTGATGTATTTAAGGACATTTTTATTTTGAATAGAATTTTTATGATTTTTAGGTAAAGTCAACCTAAAAATTATATTTTGAGATTTTAACGAAATTGTATAGGCACATATTTTACCATTAAATTCAACTGACACATTAATTTGATTCTTGGTATTTGAAATTGCATACACGTAATAATTACAACTAATACAAATTAAGATCAGTCAAGGCAATATATATATATATATATATATATTATATACCAACATGAGTACTTAATATTTTTATGAAGACTAAACACAAATAAAACAATATCGGCATCATTAAACCAATAAAATAAATTTATCACCAAATTATTATAACAAATAATTAAAATAATGCATTAAATCTAATGTACTCACAAATCAAAATGCATGTAACATTTTAAAGGTTTTGTACTCCCTTCATATGTTTATCATAATTTATTATTATGAAGACAGTTCTTCAGCGTATTATTTTTAATTTTAAGGTATTTTTTTGTAGAGTAGTTTTGTTGCTTTTGTAATGATTAATGAATCATATCCCAGCCCCATCAAAAGCATATTTTAGTTTAATTTAAGGCACTGTTTGTAAACATGAAACTTACACCTCTGTACGGGAAATTGGAACCCCAGTTGGCTGTTACACCGGCTTCGGGTCTGAAATTCCGACCGGAACTATCGAACGACGGCGATCCGTTATCTGACATGAACACGATTATAGTGTTCTGCAGCATGTTCTTTTCTGTTAGCGCCTCCACTACTCGACCCACAGACTCGTCTAGTTTCGATACCATCGCTATAAAGACACGTTATTAACAACTATTAGGTTTCTTAGTAGGTGGAAATCAATTTTTATTTTAATTAAATTATTTTGATCCAAAATAAATATGTACATTGTATTATTACATTATACTTTATGATGAGCAAATATACACTTTAAACGAGTAATCATATTACATTATACTAATATACCTATTATATAATTTTATAATTTATAAGTCATAACGATGTGTGTGACTGTATGTAATATTGTTAATATACCTACCTAGTTAAGATAATTTAAATAAAATAATTATTTTAGTACCTATGTAGTATAGATCTTCAAGAAAATGTAAATAAATAGGTACCTGCTTTTCAATAAGTATGAAACGTTATGCATTAAACTTAATTTAATTCAATACTAATCAGATAACTTTTCAATAATTTAGTTGATTCGATAAACACTAAAAGTAACTTCGTTAATAAGTTAAAATCAATTCGACGTTTAAAATCGATTATTATTAATTAGTAATTTTTCCAACCTTGATTTAAAAAAAAAAAAAGTTGGGCAAGTGTATATCGCTCTGCTGTACAGTACTACAGTAGGTCCTACTTGTAGGTCACTGTAATGGCGATGGTGCTAAATTTGAATTCAATCATATAATATCATTGTATAGGTATGATAAACGATTCTGAGCGAAGACGGTCAGTCAGCCTATGATATATTACTAAGTCTATTTGAAGGCATTACTGTCAATAAAGTACCTAGTGGAACCATGTTTTAAACTGTTGATAATTAGATATGAAAGTTGAACATTTTATACATTTTTAACTACAAGATCGTTTTTAAATTTTCAATTTGATAATTATTAACAAAAATAAAACTTTAAATGCTTATAAAAAAAAATTGTGACTATGTATTCTTAATATTTTTCAACTGTCATTGTAACAATACATTAGGAGTCTTATATTAAATTTTCAAGCTTTTTGACACAAAGTATAATATTTTATTGACATATGTATAAAAAAAATAAAAAAATTGTAAGCTCAAAATGTCCGTAAACAGCTCAAAAAAAGTCTAAATATTTTGATAACTGTTTGGTGTTTAGAAGATGCTACTATAAACATTGAGAGAATATTTTATGTACGGTCATTTGTTTTAGAGTTATATCAAAAACCAAAGTCCAAAATCGATTTTGCATAAAAATATCCGTTTTGCCTTAATTTTATTTTTGTTTATCCCGGCACTTTTGAAAACTACTGGGAATTTTTTACTTTTGATCTCCCCAAGTAGCAATTACATTTACTTGCGTATCAGAAAATATACTGTTGAAGATAATCTAAATTATGTTTCTCGTGTACACAACAATAAAAATAAAATTTTAAAAATAAAACACACATTATTGTAAAATGAGTTACATTCATCGTTCCGCTCAGAATCCAAAATAATATAATGTTAAATATTTTTTGTGGCATTTAAATATTGGAAAACAATAACAGCCTTACCTTTTGTAAAAGAATAATATACTAACCAAATATCACAACATTAATTTGTTAGAAAAAACAATTCATTACTTATTAATTATTAATTATTGATTGGGTCCTGTGCATACCTGCGTAAATTCGGCGGTTTGGGTCCAAAATGTGATTAAACTTGTTGACTTCAGACTGCGGTGCCTCCAAATACTTACCCCTGTTACCCGTGTGGACGGCCACATGTGCTAGATACATGAACAGTGGTCGGTTGGCCGGCTGTTCTTTGATCAATCGCACTGCCTCGTCGGTGAACACGTCCGTGGCATACTTGCCGACCACATCCCATGCGATCGTGTCATTTCGTCGCATGTCAAACCCTTGGAATTCGCCGAAATTTTGGTACTGTGTAATATTAAAATTTCCATTTAAGACGACAATATGTTTTTTTAATCTAGATCACGGGAGTATCGATCCCAAGGGTGTCAGGAAACTGCACTCAAACGCGTCGTGAAGTAGCCAGATCTCGCTCAATAGTTTTTATTTTAAATAAGCATCTTATTGGAGACTTTATATGCACTCAACATTGGACATTTAAGCTCTATATATTATCAGAAGTTGAAAAAGTATTGAAAGAGTACTATATAATAATTTTTTTTTGGTATTTTGAAAGATATTTTTCTGGTGTTATTCATTCAAATATCAGAGTTCAATGTGACTTGAGTAAAGTTCTCCAAATTGTTATAAAAAAAAACCCGAATGCTGGCTCTGACACCATTAACTTCATTAATTGATTAATTAATTATCAGCACACGGTAGTGTTTATTTGTGGCGAAAATATTGTACTGCTATAGCGAATCTCACAATATAATAAAATAATAAATAGGACTGTAAATTAAATGTAATAAAAGACCATAAAAATGCATATAACATTCAAAAAATGCTGTATAAAATGTACTATATAAAAATCACTAAAAATACGAAGGAAATCAGAACTTAAAAAGTTAGTTATAGTTCTTTTTACAGTAGGTGTTAATAGTATACTTTATATTATAGTCGTTATTGAGTACCTAATAGTCACTGAATTTAATGATAAATCATATAGAATACCTACAAAAATGGATTTTGTGCAAAAATACAGTGTGTCTAAATATTTTGTAAATGATACCATTTGTAGAAAATGATAATATAAATATTTGGTGACTATTTTAAGAATCTAGGATATTCATTACAACAAAATAAGAAAATCATTTTTCTTCAATAAGGCCAAAAATTAAAAGACATAAAAAATTTCAAATAAAAGTTCTATAATCATTGAATTCCTCCGTATTTATTAAAAGTGTATTTGTTAAGAAAATCTTGTTTTAAGCTAATAGCTAAAAACAACGGGGATGCATATTATACAAATTCACAGCCCTAATCCACGTCGAACAGGCTATAAGGAGACGAACGTATTCGACTTACGACATCTTGAAGTATGTAGTCGTAGTAACTGACGTATCCGGTGTAATAGCCAAAGTGCGAGTCGAAACCTCGTCGTGTGGGTGTATAGGCTTGTTTGTAGAAACCCAAGTGCCATTTGCCAATAGCTCGAGTCGTATACCCCAATTCTCTGAGGTATTCCGGTAACAGTTTCTCGGATAGTGGCAAACCGTTCGGTTCGGCACCATAAGTCGGAGGACCTTGCATACCTGTGAAGAATTTTTATCATTACTATTACAATATTTTATCAGTAGTTTTTACTTGTTAGTATTATTACAATTATTAAACTGAAAATAGTGAAAAATGTACTTATATCGGCGTACGCCATACCTAGATGTACGATTTTTACACGGAGAGGGCCGAGGACTTTTAATTTGATGAGTTTCTAACTCGTAAATAATTTTAAATTAATTATATTAGGTGTACATAAAATGAATTATTGATAGCATTATAATTTATTTCACTTAGTATGTAATTACATTATAATGATACTCTTAATACGTATCACTCTTTAGGTTTTAATTGAAAATAAAATAAAATACTGATAGTTTATTTTATAAAATAAAATCTACCTCCGTTTTTTATTTGATAATTTATTGAGGACTTTTATTTGGGTTTATTTATTTTGTACAACATAACTTATTATCTTTAATTTATATTATATTTGAATTTACATGTAATTTGCATATAAAATCCCAAACTACAATAATAAATAAGACGTATAGTTTTGAAATTAAATTATTACTGCATTTTTTAAAAATTTGTTATTCTTTTGCTTTTCAACGATAGAAAGTATATTCCTGTTATTTATATATCATGATATTTTTTTTGATTCTGGGAGATTTAAAATCCTATAGACTCCCACCTACCCCTGTATCTACGCGACTGGCAATGTGTTATTTCTCGAAACCGGTAAATATTTGGTTTTCCTTTATTTTCCATAAACAATCTTTTACATATTTTTGTGAAACCGGAGAGAACCCGATATAAATGATTTCGTTACGATCGCAAGTCTCGACAATGAGATTACTTACCTAATTTAATGGGATACTTTCCAGTCATTAGAGCCACCCGAGACGGCGTGCAAACCGGTTGAGTGTATAAATTGTTCAGCACAATACCGTTGAATGCCAGTGCATCAATGTTAGGTGTCGGTATCTCGTCGGAACCGTGAAAACTCAAGTCGTTCCATCCCTGTAAATGTGAGAAAATTATTATTATTATTTTCCAATACATTTCGTCATAATTTATTTTAGTGGGCAGGTGCAACAATCCGTCAGAGATTCCGGAAACAATATTTTGAAGTTTATAAAAATTATTTTGATATCAATGTATTTTTTTTGACGAATGACCATTTATAATTAAATTTGATACAAATTGCTTTATTTTATAATTATTTGAAAACGAAAGATTGTGTGCATTAGAAAGGTTGTTATATAAAAATAAAAATAAATAAAAACACTGTTGTAAATACGTAATATTTGGAGTGATCTTCTTTAATTTGGAGTTATCGTGGTTTGAGTTATCATGACTCGACTGTATTATTACAAATTAATAAGAATATTATCAAACAAATTTTTTTTCAAATGGCATTTCTTTCAAAAATGTCTTTCTATTAATTTTTTCATTGACATATAATTCGAGCAGTTATTTTCATTAGTAGTTTTTGATTTTATTTTTGGTGGTGGCATACCAATGTTGTAAAGTTCTGCAGGTTTTGCTCTATCACTCAAAAATTACAGACATTTTGCAATATATGATATTGCAAGATTCAAATAATGAAATATAATAAAATATACTAATACGCATTACGATACGCATACTCCAATATACAGTCATACAGAGATATTATTTCCATTCTCCGGAAAATATATTATTCGACCAGAATTTCGACTAGATATGTTTTCCTCGATTCCAAATAACAATTAAAGTATTAAAGATAATACTTAGGGTATCCTAAGTCGCCGACGAATGTGACTGATATAAATGCGATTGTATTGAAATGCAACTTATATAGTTATATATAACTTAAAAAATAAAGAAGTTTTTTTTAAAGAAGCAACACAATTTTTTTTTTTTTGTTATTGCTACAAATATTTTTTTGATTTCTATGTTATTTGATTATTATTAATTAATATAGGTACCTACTATACCTACTTTTAATAGACTCAATAATATGACAGAGATATTGATATAGAAACTAGAAAGTACGAAAAACGATTGTTCTGTAGAATAAACGGGACAATAAAATATAATATACATAATACCTATATGTATAGACTAGTACGTTTCTGACACGGAACTGGACGAGATAGCTCAAAAAACAAAACGGACAAATAACGTTGTGTTATAATCATTTATATTATTAAACAGTTTATAATTGTGTCTAATATAATATTATACATTTATACTCCGCTCAGAATATTTTATTATATACAATATTACGGAATTTGGATTACAACCGAGCTTTCGCCGAGTTGAGCGAAGCGAAAACGTTGTCGTTTTCGTCGGCACGTGTTATCAAGGTCAATGTCATAGTATTATTTACAGAGATAATATTTTAGAGTGTGAACAAAAATAACACACACACACGCACGTTTGTAAGTATAATAATATTGTCGAAACACGACGGCGGCGTGCGGTCGACCTAAGGCGCTTTCTATATCCGCAAGACTAAACGCCCGCGCCGCCGTCATGACTGTGTGAAGCAACAATATTACTATTGTATTATTATATAGGTGTGCAGCTAAAAAAAATTGTAAATTGAAAATGTCCATAAACAATTCAAAACAAATCAAAATATTTTGAAAATTTTATCGTATGTAGAAAATTTTTATATAAACAACCAGTGAAAATTTAATGTATTTACAGTTATTTGTTTTAGAGTTACACCAAAAACCAAACCGATTTTGTCATAAAACGTATTTGCTGAAAAATGTATGTTTGTCCTTGATTTTTCTTTCCTTTTTCCCTGAGCTTTTGAAAACTATTATTAATTTTTTACGTTTGACCACCAAAAGTGCCATATTATAAAGTACTAGAATCACTTTCCTATCAGAAAAGATACAGTTGAAGAAAATTTAAGCATTTTTACTATCTTAAAAGGTAATGACAGACAAAAAAAAAAAAAAACACACATCATTGTAAAATAAACACATTCATCGCTCCGATCAGAATCTATAAGATACAATGGATATCAATCACTTCGTAATAATAATATAATCATGTATAGTTATTTTTTTTTGTATTTTAGTGTACCTATTACCTACAATATTTTAATAATTCACGGACTGCAATTAAGAAGGCCGTTTTACCTTTAAAATAATACTAAATTCGATTGTTCCTTTAAAAAAAAATTTACTCTGCAGACCTTATAAAACCAAGTACATTTTTAATGCATGTCTTATCATTTATATCACCTTAAAATCCGAGTTCTGCTCTTGTTTATTGTACCTATGCGTTTGCCGGCCAAAATGCAGTGTTCGTTTTGGAATGTCCTCTCACGTGACGACGATTTATCACTATTCACTGCAAGCTGCATCGTCATACGCTGATAAACGGACGGCGGACATGACAGCTACAGACTTGTTGACGGATGGAATTTAATAAAAATCATTGAGAAAATGTCTCACTAAATACTTTTACTTGTCCATTGAGATTGCTCAATAGGCCCATAAAAATGAATGTAAAAAAGTATTACAGTAGGAAATAAGTACCTATATGTGGCTACTACCTATCTATATATAATATTATGAGGAGCATTATAATAATAATATAATATTATTACAGTTTAATGGAAACCGTTTCCGCGTCAATAGGATGTTGGTACTGTTTTTTCCACATGAATCGCAAACTATTATTATTTAAACATAATAATAAGTATTTAATATTTGAGCACACATAAAAATATAATATAGGTATATAAACCTACCTACATAGTGTCTCACGATCAACTTACATTTTATTTTTTAAATGACAGTTTAAGGAGTTTTCTCATTATTGTGTCACACGATTAAAATTGGTCTCCACTACTATAATATATACACAATTGATACGAAATCATATTAACTCATCTTGGACGCATTTCCCTTGTCGACTGTACGTGATTCGTGTCAGGATACGCAAAAATTTGGGTGAATTCACGAGCTGCTATGAACATGCAATATTGGTAGCTGAATTGTTATTATATTTATATTATTTTGACGTTAGGAATATAGGCGTCTGACACACCATTATTATCATTTTTACCCAAACTTTCGGTAATTTCATCAAATACCAAATCGAAAGAATCGCATTATATTTATAAGTTCATTATAACTTCGATATTCGTTTTATTTAAAGACGTTACTTATTATCATTTACTACTATAACAGTATAACATCAGTCAAAATCCTTTCTCAACAGTATAATAAATTTCAAATGATATTATGTTTCAAGCATTTGACTCTCCAATACCTATTAATCAATTGGGATACCATTTTTATAGGTATATAAAAAACCCACAGAAATTATATTTGAAGAAATTCCTAAAAATGTTTTGTTAATTTTAATTAGTTATAAATTCAGGGCTTGCAAACTTTATTATAACGTTATATTTGACACAAAACGATTGCAATTTGTAAACGCCATCATAACGGAAAGCGATAATCAAAAATAATTAAATACCGCAAGTCCGCAAAACAAAAAATTACCATTAACAAAATATATTATATATCATTAAACAAAACGTAATTTATAGAATATCATTAAACGCAAAATCACCCAAAACGAAATACTTTAAAATCCATTTATTGAAAAGTTATATTGGTTTCTTAGAAATATTTATTTCAATGCATACGGACATTAAAATTGATTATATTATATTCTGTATCCGGTCCATTACTTTCCCCCGCATTAGTTATTATTAATACATTTAATAGGTATTAACACTATTCTAAATAACGATAAACACAAAACTTATACAACGTTTTAATTCTGAATATCAATAAAAGCACAACTTGTATAATGTTTTAATTTTAAATAACGATTAACACAAAAATTGTGTAACGTTTAATTGTAGATTACATAAAACGGAATTTTTTTCAAATGTAGGCCCTGGGTATAATTTGTTAAACATATTCAATTTCAAAAACATAACAATAGTCAATAGTCTAACGAACTAAAAATCCCAAGAAGTTTAAAAAAGCAATATAAAAACGACATTAAGACAACCTGAAGGTATACATAGTGATAATATTACTATAATATTAGGTACTATATTACTTTTTCAAAACAACGTTTTCCTCGTAATGAATTTTGTTTTTATACCCCTCCCCCAAGAAAACACGAAATGTAATAAAATCAAAATTGTATTGTTTTTGCGGAATGTATAAAATATTTACTTTCCTATACGAATAGTCGACCGCCGCGACGACCACAAGGACCGCAACATATTTGCAAACGATATTATTATTATTATTATGATAATATGCAATGTCAATGCTCTCGTCGTGTACAGTCAATATGACAATATCGTATTATTACGATTACAGAAGTTGTTGTTTATTAATGTCAAGATCGTTTACGGTTTTTACGTAACGTCTGAAAGCAGGTCGTCGTCCTGTTTTCCGCTATAGGTCGTATCAGGGGCGGATTAATGGGGGGAGACGTGGCGATTACCTTCCCACACCTTTGGGATTTTAAAAAAAAATGTTTTAATTAGTTAATTTCATGACGTAGATAATACGATGTAAATTCTGATTTCAGCAACACACTGAGCATAACTATCTAACATTTCCAAAATAGAATATTCCAAAAAATCGCTTTGGAAGTATAAGCTACATTCATTCGTAAGTTTTAATGCGTATAAGGTATAACGCTACACAGAATATGATTTAAAGAATAGGCCTTCTTAGAACTCCTGGCGGCTAATTTCCGCATTAAATACCTTAAAATAAAGACTCAAAAATGTATCAATCAAAGATCTGAAGACTGAAATAACCACACCGTATTATCTATATCTTAAAATAAAGTAATTTAAAAATTAAAAAAAAATGTTTGAAGCAATTTAGAAATTATTTTCCTAACCTAAACTTTCAGTGTCATGGTGAACATTTATTAACTACGATGAACACCATATATTTCAGTACCTACCCCTTCTTAATATAATATAATAGATATCTATTATTATGCAAATATAAATATAATTTCTGTTTTATATGTTATTGTTTACCATAATGTGTCAAACATTCTAACCACCTACCATCTTCCCAAAAAATTTCCACTATGACGCTTAGGTACGCGTCATAAAACCCTGTCCATCATGGGACTTCCTACCCTTCTATAGTTCTATATTTGCTCCAACATCTTTGAACCTATCAACATCTAATTGTAAGTTATAAGTCTTCTAGATAAAGGTAAAAAATATCTTATTATTCCTATCAACACGTTATCTTTTCTTATGTACCACTAATATGGTGTAGGATGGGAGGGGAGGACTGCATCCACAATCAACATGTTACTTATGTTTACTGGCAATACTATCTTAAAAAAAAATCGAATTATTTCCTAAAGACTTCAAACCATAGGCGCAATTTCAGTTTTTGACTTAGAGGCCGAGCTTTACATATTTAAATGAAACAGACATAGCTCTGCCCAGTGGTGTAACTAGACACCCTTAACGAATATTATCTTTGTGAAAATTCAAAATATACACATAATATTGTGGGGCCCCTGGACCAACTTTTGCCTATGACAGCTACGCCACTTCTCTGCCCCCACACCCCCTTCTGTTCGAATACCTTTAAAATACAATACCTACTTTATGTAATAAAATACTTATCATTTTATTTCTTAACTACTTTCCTACATTTAATATATTATAATTATACATCTACGAATATTACTGAAATGAAAAATATTTTTATTAAAACGAATAAACATTTAGGGTACTTTGTTATATATTATATACTTATTATAATAAATTGCAACCGTCGAATTGAAATTGCATATGTATAAAAAAAACACTACTATGGAGAATCCAGAGTACCTATATTCTAGACAAATTGAAATTTTATTAGTAATGTATTTAGTGATTAGAACTAATTACTAATTTGTAATTTTATTATTAGACCTATATTATTATGTTCTGTGAGTGGATCCGATAGTCGATATCTTCTTTGGAAAATATGCGAATAATGAATGGTGGTGGTGGTTTAAATTTTATAAAATAATCTCTTCAAACAACGTTTACTGTATTAGTGCGAATTAGATAATTAATGAAGGATTTAATACTTCAATTAAAATAAAAACTTTGGGAGGGGCTAAATTTAATATTCGTGCCCCCCATGACCCCCCCCTAAAATTGCACCTATGCTTCAAACATAAGATAAACGATATAATTAAGACGGTATCCTTATCGGGCCCTTTTAATTATTGACTGTTTATTACTAATATAAATTATAATATGGCAAAATGAATAGATTACATTATTGACGGAGTCTGCTCTCTCCGGTGCTGTGTAAGTAATAGGTATTTGTTTTGTCAACACCAGCGGGTGTAGCGACGCGCATTTCCAATGATAATAACATTTAATCGATTTAAATCGACAATGGTTGGATATATACGTCAGCGGTTTAGATTAACAATTGTCTCCGCGAACTAGGTGTAGATAGGTCAAATTGTGCGATTTTTACACGATCGATACGTGGTATAGACCTATACATAGGTATAACCTAAACGCTCTACGAGCTCGTCACCTTCGACAAATACCCGCGTTGATTGGCAATTGCGACACGCGAATATACCGACACTCGGTTTAGGTAATTGGCCAAGTACCTATAGGTAATCGGCGAGACCAGGTTGTGTATTATATTTTAATAAACCACAGTAATGTTTATTATAATATGGGTACCTCTATCGTTGTTGTTGACCGAAACGCCGAAATCGCTTCATGTAATACCTAATAACAATGACAGTATTCGCTAAATTGCACTGTTATCGCAGAAATGCAGACATTGAGCCTCACTCATTCGTGCGCCCCTATATTATTATAATATTATTTAATGTAATGATCTGCGCTGTGGTCGTTTTTCGTCGGAACCAATCAATGATTTTAATTTTTCACTGTTTGTGTAACTCACGTATTTGCTGCAGGTTCTCACATTCTACATATAGTCGGAAGGTCACTACCCTTAGCCTCGGGAAAAAACTGCACATCAGGAAGCATTGAAGTGTTGTAAGTCCCCCACGAGCCGAGTTTATGTAAATTACATATCGAGCTCAGCAATATTATTAACATGTCAAACAGTGGTAGGTACAATTAAAATATTATTTTCTAAATAATTTACTATCCTCAAATTCCGTAAATAGTTAAAATCGCTAAGATAGTTTTTCATAACTTAAATAATAATATGATTAAAGTTTTTCAAAGTTCAAAGTTTTTTTCAAACTAAAATCAATCGGGAAAAGTACATATTTTCTTCAATTCAATAATCAAATTTGTCATTATTGTTGTCAGTCGACTGTAAACTACGTTTATACTATAATAGACAGTGTTAAGTAACGTGTATCTTTCAGACGTTTTCATTTACTTACAAGTTACAAGTCACAATACTATTGTCTTTTTGTAAGTCTCAACTTGTATTAGGTACCTAATATATTAATTAATAATAAACGCAAGTTTGGTAGTTTCCACTGACTATAATTAATGTGTGGGTACTGGCTCCGCAAAAATTATTATTATTACCTACTCATAATGTGCATTAAATGTTTTTTCTTATTGTTGGCTTTAAAATTTAATTATATACGTGCATCGTTCTGTGTTATTTCTTAAATACCTGTCTACAATATGAAATCATGTATTTAATCATTCAGGTGGCCATATTATAACATCTTGAAAATTGTGATTTAGGTTTTTTTTTTTTATTACTGTTGGGAAAATACGTGAATACATTGTGAGTGATAATCGTCTTTATAATTATATACGTATACCTACTTAATGATATTTTGTAGTTAATTTCCGGCTATAGATAAATTGTGCGTTTCAACAATTGTTATATTATATAGATGCAAAAAGTAGAATAATTAGACAGGTATTATAATTCGTTATTAAATGACGTATACTAGGTAGCCGATATGTTTCCCGACTGCATCCGTGAAATATGAACAAATATAAACACGATGCTATATTATAATAGGCGTATTTCGGTTTTAATGTACCTCAGTTCATGGGCAAATCCGCATCGGTTGTGAACCAATTCGGCTGGGATGAGTAATTCAGATTGGATATAGCCATATAGCCTAATTATATCATAAAGCACTTGGTATATTTTCGAACAACTCTCTAGAAACAATTTCTGAAATGTTCGTCAAAATCGGTCGAGTAGATTTTGAGTTTATAAGCTACAAACATAAATTAATTAGGTAAAAGACTTAGGTATATAAATAAAAAATAATCAATTTTTCAATATCCGATCCGTGAGCCAAATTAATTTATGAGCCACCCTATGGAACTTTAAAGGGGTTGCAAAACTAAACTGTAAACACTCCTCGAGTCTCAGAGAATATGCGTGCAAAATTTGGTGGCAATTGGTTTGGGAGTTTCCAAGTCTATAAGCCCCATTCAAACGTTATTTATATAAATCTTATTTATAGTATAAACGCATTTAATAGACAGATATTATAGTTTTATACCTATGTATTTTAAATTATGCATACATTTAGATTTTATTTTTATAATTTTTAAGGATACCTATGTATTATAAATCGTTTATTTTTACATAATGATGTACTCTAAGAATATATTGGGTAGTACCCACGGTGTATTTTCTCAGTTTATGTTTGCACATATTATTGGTTATATATTAATGTAACTGTATATATCAGATACCTACTTTTATATTTTATTCTATGATACACATATTTACTTGTCAACTGTGTAGTAATGGTCTATTAAGAGTTTTGAGTGTTTTGACTGAAGTTGCATAATAATTCTTAAATATTTTACACATTATATAATGCAACATACAACATGTACTATATAAGCGTGTGAGTATTCGGTAAAATTATGGTAATTTGTATGCTGGTTAGATATATACAATATATTATACATGTTAGGTTTTTTTTAATATTGCAAACTCTTGGGCTGTCGGACATATGTACAAACATTAAAAATTGATAAACCTATATTAAATAAACAACTTGAACACGCGGAATAAGAATTGCAAATTGTCACTCAATAAAGTGTGCACGGTGATCATCAATCATAATATAATAGCAATAAAGTAGTGCGTTCATCGTTTTGTCAAGAATTTAGAAAGGTATGGTAAAAATTAAATTATAACAATTTACATTAGATGCACATGTTTATCATATATTATTGTCTCACGATGACCAAATTACCCAAAAACTAAGGTAGTAAGGTGCTAATAATTGGTTGTAATACAATTTTAATAAATGATTTAGTCATTTTACCATGATTAATTACCATAATTTAAAAATGGACGACATTATCATCGTTAAATTTAAAGTAAACTATTAAATGTGTTATCCAAATTCAAAATCAAAATCTATAAATTATTTGCAGAACTGCAGATATACCTAGGGTATTTATTTACTATATATTATAATATAGTACCTATATAATATAGGCAATTCAAATATGACAGAAATTATAATACTATAGATTATTTAAATGAAAAAATAAAAAGTGTTAAATTATAAAATTATAAACTAAACAGCTAAATAAAAATATTAACGATGGGTTTTGTATTATAAAAAAGTAAGCACGGACGCACTTGATATAATTTGGGGTCATATAATAGATATACGCAATGATAATAATAATAATAATAATAATATCTTAGTCGTTTTGTGGGTGAACGAGTCTTAAAGGTAACGTTGTGCCTTACCAAATCGTCAGCCAAGATGAAAACGATGTTTGGCTTGGAAGACTGACTTCTGGCTGGTCGCAGGAAGACGGCAAACGCGAGCAGGGCCCACAGTGATGACCGTGTGACTTCCATGAGTCCGCAGCGTGTGGGCGGCGTGTAGTCGGAGGTGCGAGTGACTGCGAAGAAGTGTATTGAACGCGATTGTGGTGGCCTAGCTGAGGTTGGTTTTCGGATCGGTGGCGGAGGAAAAAATAATAATATTAATGTACCAGCAACGGAAAACTAAAAAGGAAAACAACGAGTTTTCCCTCTTCTTTTTTCCCCTATATCTGTGTCCTAATTCGCGTCCGAACGGGAAAGACAAATCGCTACTGTTACCGTCAGCAAAGTGTGCCGCCGACGAATATTTTATTATTGTAATATTATACCTATGTTATTATAATATTATAGTTCGGTACGATTTGCACGGTGTAGCGCGACTCGCGGGTATCTCGATTATAATAATATAATATTAATTGATGTAAATGGACATAACACACGTCCTACACACACGATATATTATTATTATTATTTCGAATATACCCGGACGACGAGCGAAATTTAAACGGATACGACCGTAGTGCTTGTGCCGACTGGACTACGGTCGCTAACAAATTCGGTACCTATTTATAATGCTTGATACGTGGCCAGTGATTTTTATATTGTTATTCACCTTCCACCGATAATTTTACTGTTGTCTCCTTGTGCGGTATAGTATAATAATATTATACGCGATATCTACGAACTTTACCCACCCGTGGGCAGTTCGAGGAGGTGCTGCAAGGCCACCCCCCCCCTCAAACCCAACATGAGATATAATTACATAATATAGTATAGATGATATGTACTATAGTCTATATTATATATAACAATAATACATTAATTTATAACACAGAGTGCTTTACCAAAGCACGCTCATCCCCATTTTAGTTTCTAACCGGAACGACGAATTTATTAATTTACGATGGTGTATTTATGACTTATGTACAAGATTTATAGAAGACAAAATGCTTTGATCATGGTTTCTGATAGTTACTTTTGGGAGGTCAAAATAATTGTAAAAAAATTTTTTGACTTAATCAATTTTGTTTTTTGTTTTTAATTCAAAAATGAATACCCGAGAGAAATATTTATATAAGATTTTTTTACTCGACAGTAAACACCGTATATTTTGGCTCTGTTTGTGCTATTTATACATTACATTTTTCAATTTATTTACAATTATAATTTTGTTTGTAGGTAAGTAAAATACCTTGAACTATAGATTCTTCTTAAGTTGTTCTTTTAGAAAATAAAAAATGACGAAAATATAATATAGCCACACATTTTTTTATAAACATTAAAGTTTCAAATTCTGACTAAAATTGTCAACTTCGCTAAAATGTCCAAACATTTTATTATTTTAATGATTAAACAATGCTTGAAAATTGAATAGAAGGTTCGTCGTAAGTTTTTCTCAAAAATCTCAAAAATAAAATTGCTTAACATTCTTATGTCGATTTTTGTATGCACTGTTTAAATGTTGAATTTAAATTTACTACATCTGTTACACTGTTTCAGTAACATATTAAATGACGATGTAGGTACACTCAAAATCTAGTACCTATCTACCAGTTGTACCTACAGCGGAGTGGTTTCCTACTTGCTCACTTTTTTAACTTTAATATAATGAATTTATCAAATTCTGATCATTATTCTTAAGTATACTGGTTATTAGGACCATATTTTCCAAAAATTTGAATTTTATAATATTTAAGGAGCGCTTTTTGGCGTTTACAACATCCATTTTCAAATTAAAAATCACCGTTTTTTCTTATATAAATTGTTAATCAGATAACTCATAGTTAAGAAAACCAATTACCAAATATACCTATACATGATACAGAAGATAATATTGTGTAGTAGTGTTTTGTTATGTTAAGGGGATTCGATACCGTGATTTTCTGTTTTTGTCTAACACACGCGCGACATAGTATTTTAGACGTGTTTTTTGCCAAACATTCCAATTTATCTATTGAAGCGATAAGATTTCTGAAAACAGATTTGAATTTGTCGTCAAGTCTACTTGAAATCGACTTTCCCACATTTTTGATTTTTTGATTTTAACTTCTCCAAAAATTGAAATACCAGAATTTTGAATTACTCTTTTTGAATATGGCATTTTAAAAAATTTGGGGGATAATATCAAAAATGTGGGGAAGTCGATTTCAAGTAGACTTGACGACAAATTCAAATCTGTTTTCAGAATTCTTATCGCTTCATTAGATCAATTGGTATGTTTGGCAAAAAACACGTCTAAAATACTATGTCGCGAGTGTGTTAGACAAAAACAGAAAATCACGGTATCGAATCCCCTTAATCTAAATATCGTTAATATAACAATAATATAATTTCATATAAAAATTACACTAAAATTGTTGATATTTTTTATTTACATTATGATTATTAAAACTACTAAGAAAAAAAAATTATTTTTCTTAAATAGATATACTTACCTGTCCTTTGAAGTTATCATATCAAGTAGTTAACTCTTAATGATCCTAACATTAAATACCATCATGGAAACATCATGATTCATGATGTGTGTGGATTTTACCCTTATAGTATCCTTTACAATATGTATTCACTATAATATTAATATAGTATATAATAATAATATAATAGACGTGCAGGAAACACTAATGCGACGTATCAATATGTGCTTATACACAATGTTTATAACACATAAAAGAAAAGTGGTTTATTTTTCTGCTTTTCTTTCTGAACCTGTGTGACGTGTGATTGTTTTGGATCGATGGAGTCGTCAAACAGCAGGTACAACAAGTAGGTACACGTGGTGACAGCTAGTGATAGTTTAAAATTACGTTCAGTTTTATTTGTGTACCTGCTAGCAAACTCTTAAGTGTACCTAACCTATATAAGTTTATACTTTATTATAATAGTGTGTAAACGCAAAAAAAACAAATTCTTACCTTATTGGACGATGACTCTTGTATTCGCATTTCGTACACATTATACATAGGTACCCACATAGACATTAAATACCGCAGGTATCTACTTGTTGTCACTGAGTCCACTCATACTTACGTGGGTTTGTTCATAATAGAGTATTGAGGAATAATATAATACAATATTTTGTCAAGTACAATATAAAATGTGATGTATAATATAAACAATACAATTTATACAAATAAGTAGGTGCTTATCCTACATGTTTTTGAAATATTATTTCTGTGTTCAAGTGCCCTAATCCATAAGTAAGTACCCATCCCTAAGTACATATCCCACGCTCATTTTCAGATTTTTGAAAAATAAAAATAAAAATAATATTAAATCTAAATAAGTAGGTAATACATAATGAGCCAAATAAATATATTCCTACCAATAAACTTATAAAAAATAATTCATAGGTATGAATAATATTGAACTAAAATTATCAGACAAACCATTTTTTGATCAAGTGTTTTGCAGTTGGTTATAAAATAATGACCGCTATCAGCGTAACCGACAATGACGTGTTTTCGATTTATTATTTGTGTAGTACCTTTTAAGTTATAATGTAGTAATAATATGCACTGTGTACTTAATCTTATAATCTTTCCGTTGTTTGTCTTTATGATAATTCACATTAAATCAATTAAAAGTTACTACAACACAATCATACAACATTCTTTAGTTTTAAATCATTTAAAATAAAACTCTTTATCGTTAAACGGTTTGTATAGAGCGAATTAAGAACGCCCTTCAGAATCCTATTTTATTCAGGAAACTATGTTAAGCCAACACATTAAATAGACGATTGAAATAATTCTACATTAGTATGTTACCTATTATTGTATTACACTATTACGTATTATTACTATTGTTATTCTTTGATTTATTAAATTTCGTCATGTTGACCGGTTTTTGAGAATAGCCCAATAATATGTATGTTTCCTGGTAGTTCCATTACATAACATTTTCCGTGTGTGCTTAACCTAGCCATATTATAATGTACTTGCTAATTTTTAGATTTTTAGTTTTATTTCCTCATATTTATCATAATTTATTTATGGCGTTGTAGTAAGCCAGTATCTATGGTGTTACTGTACTCTTGTTCCTTTTAATGGGAACTCCCATTATTATTTACATATTTGCCGCAAAAATATTGTTTTTAGCATTAAAATAAAATGTTTGTTGGTCGACTTAACGACCCATTTAGTGTGTATAGGTTAAGTCCAACTATACGACCCACCCGCAAACTTTATTTTACCTATTCAATTTAATATAGAATACTGATTAGGTACTGATTGACTGATTCTTGATAATAGAAAAGTTGTAAAAAAAATTATTGCAAAAACATTTTCAAAAACGTTAATAGTTTTTTAGATAATGAGTGATTAAGTTTCGTTAAAATAATCACCATATGTATAATATTATTGAAAAAATATCTACAACTCAGCAGTGGCGTATGCAGGGGTTCTGAAATTTCTTTTTTCTACAAAAAATCTTATTTACCACCATCTTGATACCCACAGATCAATTGTTCGTCATTTTTAATAGATATAAAATAAATTGTTGAATATGATAAAGACGTCGATAATCATGGTTTCAGTTTTTTTTTGGCTGATTTAGAACATATAGCTAGACGTCTCCCATAATTAGTTATTACCAAGTTTGTTACAGCCCGAGTAGGCTCTATAGAAGACCAGGTTAAACACTGTAAATGTAGACTAAATTTGAGACTAACTATAATTTGTTATATAAAAACCAAAATCCTGCGTACGCTACTGCAACTCAGTAATACCCAAAAGTTGTATAAATTGAATGATTTTTTTATGAAGCCAAAATCACAAAATCTGATTTTATTATACGGTTTAATAAAACCCCAATGCACTTTAACTGCTTACTAATTTTGAGCTTAACATTTGATGCTCGTAATAGGTATTCAATTTTCAAATATTGTGTATTTCTGTATTAAAAAAATTAGGACTAAGTTTAGTAGAATCACGTTTATTTTAGTAGTAAATTATTGTAAATATGTATACTTAATGTATAGCTATACTTATAATATTATACCATACCCACCTATTTAATGCAGGACTTACATTTGA